GAGTGCTTACTTCATACCATTGTGAGATTAAATGAGTAATCCCTGTAAAGTATTTAGCACAGTACCTGGCATTCAGTAAATGCTCAATAAGTATTAGTTCTTAGTACTGTTTTACATGTTTTTTCCTGGCAAGTTATCTCCAGGATTTAAGGACTCTTTCTGATACTCAGCAAAGTATTTAAGACTACATAACTAGTTTATTGCCTGAAGTCAGTTTTTAAAACCAGAGCTATTTGATTCCATAGGTAGCTCTTCACTGTTTGACTAATTCCTTGAAGTAAATTTTTCCATTCATAATGTTACTAGTATGTAAAAATTACCTAGAAATATAATGCTAGGATTATGACATAGTGATCACATTTTATGTGGTTTGTTTACTTGAGCAGAGAAGACCTACACTCCTTTTGTACCATATTTATTGTATTGGCTTTGGTAAATTTAGGCCTTAGGTATAAAAGCAATTTTTAATCCAAAATAAATTAAAAGATACTAAGTTTTTGTTGACCTACTGACCTATTAGTTCAGGTAGGTTATTAATTTTAGGTATTTTTTGTTGCTTTCATGTATTTTTTTGTAATCTCAGCTTTTAATAAATGTTCACATGTTTCCTGTCTTTTGGTGAAGATATGTTTTTATTTTTGTTTATTTTGATGTAATTAAGCACCTCTAATGTGTTTATGGGCTGTTAGTATAACTCTTTCAGGTGCATTTTTTCAAGACCCTTCCCCAATTATTTTTTAATTTTTTTTAAAGATTTTATTTATTTATTTGCAAGAGAAAGTGCACAGAGGGAGAGGGAGAAGCAGACTCCCTGCTGAGCAGAGAGCCCGATTTGGGGCTTGATCCCAGGACCTTGAGATCATGATTTGAGCTGAAATCAAGAGTTAGATGCTTAACTGACTGAGCCACCTGTGCACTCCTCCTTGCACAATCTTTTAATGAACTGTATTTTTGATATTGACTTACAGGAGTTCTTTATATTATATATATAGATATAGGATCTTTGTTGGGCATTGCATAGGTCTTCTCTGGCTTGCCCTTTTTTTTTTTTAAAGATTTTATATATTTATTTGAGAGAGCGATTGAGCAGGTGGAGAGGCAGAGGCTGACTTCCCCACTGAGCAGGGAGCCCTATGCGGGGCTTAATTCCAGGACCCTGGGATCAGAACTCGAGCCAAAGGCAAACGCTTAACCAACTGAGCCACCCAGATGCCCCTGACTTACCTTTTATTAAAACATCTTAAACATTTAAACCTTCCTGTTGAAGGGATAAGGGAGCTGGTCAACCTAACATATAATGAAGATATTTTAAAATGTTTTATTGGGAAGCTTTATTGTTTTACCTTTTTCATTTAGCTTTGTGATGCTTTTAGAATTTTTCTTTTGTTCAGAAGGGTCATTGGCCTCAAGTTTCACCTTACATATTTAAGACTTAGTACTCAACAATTTTTAGCAACAGATGCATGGGGACTCTGCTAATTGATTTTTTCTATCTTTTTTCTCTATACTTCAGTTTGGGTAGTTTCTATTGCTGTGTCTTCCATTTCACTGATTTTTTCTTCTACGGTGTCAATACCTTTAATCTGATGACATTTTCACTGTATATAATATATTTTTCACCTCTAGAAGCACTGTTTGGTGCTTTTTTATATGTTCTGTTTCTCTTTTCACATGTTTATATTTTCCTTAAACTCTTGAGCATTTAGTTGTCTTGATATTTTGACCTTATTATTTCATCATTTCTCTTCTGGTTACGGATCATGTTTTCTTGCTTAGCTTATATAATAATATTTTATTGGCTGTTGGGTATTTATGAATTTTACATTGTTTTATATGACTTATCTGTCTTTAAAGAGTGTTGGACTTTGTTAATAGCAGACAGTGAAGTTACTTGTATACCAGCCTAGGGCTTTGTTTAGGGTGGGTCTAGAGTACACTTACTCTAGGGCTAGTTTTTGTCTTCGGCTCAGCAGACCTTTTTGCAGTATTTACTGAATTCTGCGGGTGTTCATTGAAGACTCCATTCTGGCTATTTGGAATTCTCAGTACCATGTGAACCCTGAAAATTCTTGAACCTACTGGTTCCTGGTCATTCTTTGTTTGGCCTCATGAAGTTTCCCTCTACATATTCAAGACTTAGCACTCATAGTTTTCAGCAACCAATGCATTTGGACCCCCTGCAGATTCTTAAATTTCTTTCTCTGAAAGTTCCATCAGCATTTGCTTTATCATTTGGTTGGCCTCATTAAACTTCATTCAGTCTTTGTCTCTTCAACTCTGTGTGGACTGTTGTGCTCTGCTTGGGATCCTTCTCCCTTGTACTATGATCTTTAAAGCAGGGGCATTTCTAAGCCTGTCATCCCTGCCCCCCCGCATGGTTCACAACCCTGTGCTGCCTATTGTACAATGCCTGACAATAGTTATTTCATATGTTTTGTCCATTTTTGTTGTTTATAGTAAGTAGAAGGGCAAGTTCAACCTCACGTATTCCATCATGGCCAAAAGCGGAAGTTCCCTTACTGTATTTTTACAGAAATAAATTTTCAGAGGTACACCTGGGTGGCTCAGTCAGTTAAGCGTCCCACTCTTATCAGCTCTTGATCTCAAGCCCCATGTTGGGTTCCATACTGGGCATGAAGCCTACTTAGATAAAATTAAAAAAAAAAAAAGAATCAGAAGGCTAATTGAGGATTTTAAGAATAATGCCCTTAAACTGTTCTTTGTATGTATATAGTTCCTGGAAAACATTGACACATCAGGAGTGTCCCTTTGAACTAGTGTTTACATCATAGCTATACCTAATTATTATAAGAAAAACACACTGTAGTTAGGCTTTCTGTTGAGTAAATAGGAACATGAAATTTAATTACTTTGTTATGTTTCTTTGACTACATATGATTAATGATAGCCCTGAATTACTGCTTCTGCTTTCCCTTCCCTCTTATCCCCAGATAACTCTGCCTGTTGAGTGTATAGTTGATTATGGGGAGGGGGGCAGGAAATTAGGAAGCTATTGTAGAGAAATTGGGACTAATGGTACCTACTAGAGGATGGAAGTATGAGTGAAAGAAAATACCAAAGATAAATGGGGTTTGTTTGTTTTTGTTTTTTTTTTCTTCACATCTGGTTGGGTGAGTTGAGGGAAGAGCATCTACTGAGATGATGAAGACTTGGCGCAGAACAGATTCTGGGGGAAAAATTCAATTGTGTTTTGGATATATTAAGTTTGAGATGAGAAACAGCAAAATAGAGAAGATAAGTACGTAGTTGTTATAGAACAATTCTGTAGTTGCTCTAGCATTGAACTTAAGCAGTTGATTTCTTTGATGCCAAATGTAAAATTTTACATTTTCATTGTTTTGTTTCTACATTTTTTTCTGCTGTGATTTTGTCATCATTTGCATTAAGTCTCCCAGATTTTGATGATAGTTGTAAGTAAAATTTGCTTAAATTTATGACAGTGAATTCTGGTATAGATTATTGTATCTTTTATATGCAGGCTTTTTCCTGTAACAAATAGAATGGTTTAAAAAATAATTATTGGGGCACCTGGGTGCCTCAGTCGGTTAGGCATCTGACTCTTGATTTTAGCTCAGGTCTTGATCTCAGTGGGGTGAGTTCAAGCCCTGCATTGGGGTCCACGCTGGGCATGGAGCCTACTTAAAAAATAATAATTAAAAAAATAATTGTTATTAGTGAAACCACACATTGATACCTGAAAGTCAAAAGCACTAAAACATGATAAAAAAAAATATGTCCCCTTCTCCCCTACCCCCTCACCCTTTCACCTTCCCACTTCAGAATCAAGCACTCTCTTAGCCATATTCTTTGGTATTTACTTTCTTGTTGCTTAGTAATATACCACTGTACTTGGTACATGACTTTTAGAAAACATTTGTTGACTGCTGGTTATGGAAAAGAAGGACTTAGAACATCATTCACACATTCGTCCACTTTCCTTTTCCTCATTGCCCTCATAGTTGTATCACAACATTTTGATAAACTGGCACTGAATATTTACATTTTTATAATTATGCATGTATTGTTCACTGTTAAGCTAAATATTACACTAAGACCATACTTTCTTATATAAGCCTTTATTTCTCCTGAGGTAGTACTTGCTCATGCAGTTGGTTTTCTGTAAACCTATTGCTCATTTTTCCCAAATGTGTCTGAATTTTTATCATTTGCTTATAAATAATAATTTCCATATTCTGAAATATATTAGTTTCATTTTGCCCTTACTGGAAACCTATTCCATGATGGTCTTTGGCTTCCTTTTTTATTTTGGAGTGGTTGTTCTCTAGTTCTTTCTTCTGCGTTAGATTTATTTACCAAGTGCCATATTGTCTTGTTTTGTTTGATTCCTTTTAATGGCTTTATCATAAGGAAGAATGTGTAGAGATAAAATTTTAGCTTTCTTAGAAGCCTGTGAGTGTCATTTTCACAACTTGATTGATAATTTGGCTGGGTGTAGCATTCTAGGTCGAAACTTGATTTCACTCTGAATTTCGAAGGCTGTGTATAGATGTTTTCTAGTTTTTAGCAGTATTCCATTATTATTTTGGAATAAAATTTCAGTGGTATTCTGATTACAAATCCTTTTTATGTGACTTTTTTTCCCCTCTGGAGGCTTTTCTTTATTTTCAAGGCTTTGAAGTGGCTTGAGAGACTTCTTTCCTTCAGTAAGAAGAAAATATTATTTTAAAATACAATTTCCGTACCTTTGTTTTCTTTCAGTTTTCATTTTCTATAACGCTGGACATTTTGGAGTGAGCTGATGATTTCTTATTTTTCCTAACCTATATTCTGTCTGTCTTGCTTTTACTTTCTGTATTTGAATCTTCTGTATTTTTTTTTTTTACTGGAATTTTAGGGGGATTTAGGAGAATATGGAAATAACATTTGATCATTCTGTGTATTTAGTAATCAGAATTTTAGTATTGAATTTAAAATTGCATTTCTTCCTAAACTCGATTTTTTCTTTTTTGTTTTGACAGAGATGTTATGAACATAAACAGTATCGAAATGGATTGAAATTCTGTAAACAAATCCTCTCTAATCCCAAATTTGCAGAGCATGGAGGTAAGTGTAAAAGTGTAAATAACATATACTTGTAAGTGTAAGTAAATAAAGCTTTGCTAACTTGTTTGACTTCACTTATTTGGATTCTGTTACTCTCAGCTGCCCTATTTTTCAGAGAGAATGGACCTTCTTTGACTCTTGTGTGAAGATGTTTTAATACTGTAGTTTGAATTTAATGTTAAGAAAACTGTAACACCTTCTACTTGATTTCTGGTTTATTCCTGCTTTGCAGATTAATGCTGTAGGAAAGGCAGAGGAAATTAGTAGGGACAGGTATGTTTAGATTTAATAAATAAGCTCATTTAAGATATTAGAAAAATTTGCTTTAGAACTTTTGTTGAGCTGGAAAAATTTGATTTCTTACATTAAACTTATTTAGAAAGTGTCCATTTGGTCCTTAGCTTATGAGCTAGCATCTTTTTATTCAGCATTGTATCTTAGTTTTTCAAGACAGTCATGTTTAAGACATGATTTGTATATTGTGACGTTCTGAAAATTTACATAGCTTTTGCCTATGTGAGGGTAGAAGATTGGACAGTGAGATGTTGGTAGGGTAAGAGGAGAGTGTGTAGCTAAACTTGTGAAGACGCATAGGAAAACTAAGTTTTCGCAAGTCTGATTTGTACAGTTAGGAAACATGGCTCTTCAGTAATTAATTTGATAATCTCTTAGTATCGAAGAAAAGGGAGAGAGTAATAGTTCTCTATCGGCTCTCTTTATTCCTGTGTATTTTTTACTATAATAAGATTGGAGGTGGAAAGCAGGGGGAATAAAACCACCTAAATTTATCTCTTTTTCTTCCTTGTTAAAAAATAATTTTTGTTAGGTGGATGGTATGTTGTATGAAGTGCCATAATTTAATTGAAAGTATTTTAACAGTACATAAAATGATGGTTTGTCTTAGACTCACTGGCACTACAGAGTTTCGTTAATTAAGGTACTTTAAGATGTTTGGTAAAAGTTGTATGAATAGACAGGGCACCTGGGTGGCTCAGTCGTTAAGCATCTGCCTTCACCTCGGGTCATGATCCCGGGGTCCTGGGATTGAGCCCCACATTGGGCTCCCTGCTCCGCGGGAAGCCTGCTTCTCCCTCTCCCCCTGCTTGTGTTCCCTCTCTCACTGTGCTTCTATCAAATAAATAAATAAAATCTTTGTATGCTTTGTAACATGCACGTTATAAAATTAGAAATCTTTTTTCTTTTCCTAATCTGAGAATTTAGTATTTCTCTGAACTCTGTTAATCTTTTGATTGTAAATGACAATTCTTTTTTTTTTTAAATGACAAAATCTTTCTCTCTCTTTTTTTAAAAACAGAAACCCTGGCTATGAAAGGATTAACATTGAACTGTTTGGGGAAAAAGGAAGAAGCTTATGAATTGGTTCGTAGAGGTTTGAGAAATGACTTGAAGAGTCATGTGTGTATCCTTTTTGAGATGCGTTTAAGCATTGGATTGGGGTGTCTTAAGCTAAGACAGCAATTTGGGAGTCAGAAGTCTTAGATTCCTCTTACTATGAAATTCCAAAGTTTTAAATTGAATTAACAGCTGTCTTCATGAACATTTTTATGTACCTACCCTGTTCTGACATTACTTCTGTTCAGATAAATTGGACTTTCCTTTTAAAGTACATTAGTCCCACCTTGTCCGCAGTTTCACTTTCTGCAGTTTCAGTTACCCGAGGTTAACTGCGGTTTGGAAGCACATGATCCTTCTGACGCATTGTCAGGTCAGTAGTGGTATTACACTACGTCACAATGCCTGCTTCATTCACCTCACTTCATCTCATCACGTAGGCATTTTATCATCTCACATCACAAGGAAAAGGGTGAGTACAGTATAATATATTTAAGAGAAAGAGAGACCATGTTCACATAATTTTTATTACACTGTATTATTATAGTTCTATTTTGTTATTAGTTATTGTTGTTAATCTCTTACCATGCCTATTTTGTAAATTAAACCTTATAGGTATGTGTGTATAGGAAAAAACATAGTTATACATAGGTTTCAGTATTTTTGGTTGTTTCAGGCAGTTTTTGGGAGTCTTGAAACCTATCCCCCACAGATAGGGGGGTACTATATTTATGAAAGCTCTTCCATAATTACAAATAAAGAAGCACTCTGCAGAGTTTATCATCATTACAAATTTAGGAAAAAATATACAATAGGAATAGTAGACAAATAGTATACTGATGAAGGGCACAGGCTTTGGAGTATGCTTCCCTTAGGTTTGAATTTCACCTCATCTTTTTGGAATCTTAGGACTTAGTTTCCTAGTATATAAAATGAGGATAACCATATCCATCTCACTGTGGTGTGAGGATTTAATGATGAAATATATTAGATGTTTAACATAGTTTCTGATAATGCCAAGGTACTATACCAGATAAATTTTAAGTGTGAAGTTAGGAACAAGTACAAATGTCTGAAGGAAGATAGAGAAAAAATTGTGGGTTGCTCTTTTTTAAACAGTTTTTAAACAAATATTTCTTTACCTATTTTGTGAGCTGATACAGTTTTTAGTGCTGAGACACTTAGAATTTGAGGTGTTTACCAGACCTCTGGCACACTGCAGATGAAGAAAAGTTAGGGATTTTGCTGTCGAGGAATTTACAGTCTGGTGAAGGAAGGTACTTACTGGAAGCATATACAGAAACATGTTTGAGTATTACATAAAGCATTACAGCTTGTTCAAAAATTATCACTAATCCAGTAAAGCAGAAATGAGTTGGGAGTAAGCAGAAACTCTAGGGTAAAAAGGACTAATTAGTAAGACTGTTGTAGATACTTTTTCATCATTTCTAATGATTGGGTAGTATTCTGTATGTATTTACTTAAATTTATTTGTGTTCCTCTTGATGGATATACGTTTCTTTAAATTTTTAGAAGTGTTAAACCCCTAAAGTGTAGATTTTTAGGAGGTGAAGTTTAGAGGCAGTTAAAAGATAGCAGTGCTCAAGAGGTGATGACATCCTGAAATAAAGGTAATGGGGGCCAGATTATGAAGGGTGGTGTGTCTTAGGCTTTTAAAAACATATACCAGCCAAATGAGAAGATTGTGTTAAGCTTTACTTTGTCATTTATAGTATGAAAGCAAGGATTTTTCAAATAAAATTTATGGTATTAAATATGTATTTTCAGTTACATGTGCCATCCTGGACATTATGTATTTAACTGACTCTTGTTGAGGATCCCTGGCATAAAAGTTGGTAGATTGAAAAGTTTAAATCTGATCTGAGAGAGGAACACTACAAGTTTCTGAAAGGGAAGTGAATTATTTTCTTTTGATTTTGTGGGGTTTTTTGTTTGTTTGTTTGTTTTTAAGAAAGGTTACTCTGGAGAGCATAAAAGCAGAGAGACTGAAGGTAGGAGGATGGGTGACTGTGCAGTAATCAATATCTAAAGTGAAAAGGACCTGTATTAGGGGAGTGGGATTATTTACATATTCCCCCCTTTATAGCATCTTTTACAACCAACTATAGTTTACTTATCTGTGCCCTTACTAGACTTCAAATTTTTTGAATGCGGGGAAATAGTCCATTTTGGTCACCTACACCCTGATTATTAAGATATTTTAATAATTATTTGCTAAATGAATTTTTATCTTATATGTGGTTTTTATCTTCTATGTTGACTTTTAGGAACTTTGTACTGCACTAAGCATTCTGTACTAAGGATCTTGTTAGCTAAAGAAAAGTACATGATGTAAAATAATTATGTCATGTATATACCCATTCCCTCTTTTTTCTTTTAAAAGTAAAGATAATTCCAGGGGTACCTGGGTGGCTCAGTCGGTTACGCATCCGACTCTTGATTTTAGCTCAGGTCATGATCTCAGGGTCCTGAGATCCAGACCAGTGATGCGGAGCCTGCTTGGGATTCTCCCTCTCCCTCTGTGTACTGCATGCCCTCCCCATCCCCACTCATGCGCATGCACACTTGCTCTCAGTAAATAGATAATTCATAACATTTATTGAGCATTTCTTTTGTACGAGTCTTTTCCGTTTAGTTATGAAACTATGCTGTATAGACTTTCTATTTACATTTTGTAATTGTGGAAACATAAGACTAAGTAACTTACCAAGGTCACAGCTAGTAAGACATGTAAGGTGAGACATATTTTCTTTGGCTCAAAAAGCTGTGTTGTTTTCCAGTTTGTTAAACTTCTATCTTTATATTCTCTCCCTTTTTTAAAAAGCTTAGAATTTTATAAATAGCTGTAGTTTTCTGAGTTTCTTGAGGAATACTATTGGAATATTATTTCTTGACTTGTAGGTTGTGTCCTTAACTAAATCCTTTAGGTTGGCATGTTTATGGCCTTCTCCAGAGGTCAGACAAGAAATATGATGAAGCCATTAAGTGTTATAGGAATGCGTTAAAATGGGATAAAGACAATCTTCAAATCTTAAGGGACCTTTCTTTACTGCAGATTCAAATGAGAGATCTTGAGGGTTACAGGGTAAGTAAAATAACCAATTGTTTTATTCTAAGGGGAAAATAGTATTAAAATATTTAAAACTTTTTTGAGTACTTACTGTAAACAAAATTTTCCGTTCTTAAACAATTTAATCTTATTCATCTCTTCCTAGTAGTGATTGTGTATATTATGACTGGACTAATCAGATTTTTAAAATAAGTTATTTTACTCTGAGGCAGAATTGGATTACTGTGTAGAATGGAGTTAATTCAGTGAAAATTAACATTGATGTTCCTCAAATAGGCAATGCCTTTGTCTGCTATTAACATGTAAATACAACCTTTAGTTCTCACATTTTTCTGGAAAGCCTATTTGTTTCTTCTTTTTACCTCCATTGAGACTATTCTTTGTGTCTGTATTTTAACCCTTAAATTAGTCTATTTAGATCTGTATAGCCATGTGTAGTACCTGCTCAGTTGTTTTCTATAGATCTTAACTCAGTAGTTGGGCTCTGTATTTTTAAAAAAGTTTTTCTTTTGTACTCTTCTCCATCCTGTCTCTCTCTCTTTTTTTTTAAGTAGTTCAGGAAGTAATAAAGCAGTCTGGTCTTAAGTTTTAAAACAGTTACAAGATTATCTTGGAGGCTTCATTGTACTTCTTACTAAATATTGTTTTGCTTCTATAAAGCTACACAATATGGATGTCTGAAGCTGTTTTCTGTTATTATTCCCAGGATTGTGTTGCAAATTGCTCAGCATTGTTGGGTAAATTAATATGATCTTTTTAGGAGCATTTGCTTTCACTTTACAGTGAAACCTAAGAAAAAAATGTTTTTTTTCCCCTTTAAAGGAAACGAGGTATCAATTACTTCAGCTTCGCCCTGCACAGAGAGCATCATGGATTGGTTATGCTATTGCTTACCACTTATTAGAAGATTATGAAATGGCAGCAAAGATTTTAGAAGAATTTAGGAAAACACAACAGGTAACAGCCAGAAGCCAGACCTAGTAAACTGGGTCTAATTCTAAGTATAATGATAAAAAAGAAGTGTATATAGACTTGCAAACTTTTTATTTTGAAATAGTTTCAAACTTCAAGAAAAGTTGCAAGAATAGTACAAAGAACTCCAGGTAGGAGTTCAGTCACATTAACTGATTATTAATACTTGACACATTTACTTTACAATTTCTATTATCTACTTACCTTTTTTAAATTTTTTTCCTGAAACATTTGAGAGTAATGCAGATACCATGATCTTCTACTCCTAAATCTGTCATTCTGATACTTCCTAAGAATAACTCTATAGTTATTAACTCTATACACAGTATGGTGTAGATTATCAAAAATTAGGAAATTTAACATTGATAGACTGTTATTATCTAATCCACAGTCCGTATTCAAAATGTATTAATTGTCCTATTTATATCATTTCTAAGATTTTCCCCCCCATTACTGGAAGCATACTTTGTATTTAGTTATCAATTCTTTCCAGTCTGATTTAATCTGGAAGTTTTGAAGACTTTGTATTTCATGACATTGAAATTTTTGAAGAGTACAGTAAGTGCTTTGTAGAATGTCCATCAATTTGGATTTCTTTGCTGGTTCTTCATTATTAGATATAGTTAAGAATTTTTGGCAGGAAACTACAGGAGTTATGTTTAGCCCTTCTCAGTTCATCACATTGAGAAGCATAAGGTCTGTTTGTTCCATTTAATTACTTGGTTAAGGTGGTGTCTGCCAGGTTTCTTTACTAAAAAATTGTTACTTTTTCCTCTTTGTATTTAGTAAACAGTTTGAGATTTTCTTGCCTGTTCTTCATCAAACTTACCACTAGTTTTAACATTCATCGATTGTGATTCTTGCCTGAATCAACTGTTCTATGATAGTTGCAAAGTGGTGATTCTCTAACTCTCTTATTTTTTCTAGATTTATTATTTGACATTCTACTGTTAAGTAAGAGCTTTCCTTTCTCCCCCATTTACTTTTTATATTAAGGACTTAGGGATTCTTACTTTATTCAGTGAGTTATAAGTTAATATTGTCATTTTTTTACTTAGTTGCTGTCTAGACAGATATTTAAGAATTTTTAGAAAATGAATTTTATCAGTTATTATCCTTTGATTTCTTGTATGTATTTTGAGTGTATAAGCAGTTTTCCATTACAAAAACAAAATTCTTACCGTTAGTATTCCTTATATCCATATATAGACATCCCCTGATAAAGTGGATTATGAATATAGTGAACTCCTTTTATATCAGAACCAAGTTCTTCGGGAAGCAGGTCTCTATAGAGAAGCCCTGGAACATCTTTGTACCTATGAAAAGCAGATTTGTGATAAACTTGCTGTAGAAGAAACCAAAGGTATTTTTAAAAATTTTTTATTTTTATTTAAGATTTTATTTGAGAGAGAGCCTGCGCATGCACAAGTGTGGGGGAGGGGCAGAGGGAGAAGCCTACTTCCCGCTGAGCAGGGAGCCTGATGTGGGGCTCTAGCCAGGACCCTGGGATCATGACCTGAGCCAAACCAAGAGTTGGACACTTAACTGAGCTGCCCAGGTGCCCCGAAGGTATTTTTTTTTTTAAAGGATGTCATTTATTCTAGTAATTAGTTATGACAGAGAGCAAGACTAAAAAATCTAGTTGCTGCTGATAATTGCATATAATTCAGCATTTTGGTGAAAGAAAATCTATTTCTTGCTCATACACACTGAATAATTTGTAATGTCGGAAAATACACATTTCAACAATGGATATTAATATAAGAAATAATTGCAAAAAATAAAGTCATTAAATGAAGTGACTCAAGATTTTTTTCTTTAAATAAAATGTCTTTGGCTTGAAGATATTAATAGGGTTTGATCAAAACACAGGAGGTAATTGCTTAATTTTATAAGACAGGAATAAATTTCTTAGGAACAGCTTATTAGCAAAACTGAATGTGTTATTGACAGTAATATTTATTGATAATCAGTCTTTACTGAAGTATATATGGGGCAATTACGAGGTCTTTCTAGTTTATCTGGATGTCTTTTTGGACATAGAATATGAATTGAAATCAGAGATTTGGCTTTATGTGTGTGGATTGTGATAAGAGGGGTAGATCCCTAAAGATCTCCAGTGCTGCCATTTATTAGAAGGCCAAGAAAAAGGAGTCTCAGTTTTAAAAGTTGAGGAACTGATTATAGAAAATGAAAGAAGAATAACAAAGTAACTGAAAATAGAAGTATTTTTCTAAGAATTACCATCTGAAATGTCTCTTTGCCTGGTTTAGTCCAGGGAACTGACGTTTGCTGGTTTCAGATTCCTTTGGCTCTTGTTGAAGTTGAACACTAAAAAAGTGCGATACTTGAGCTTGCATAGTGGATATAACCATTATTTGCCAGATGAGCTTTCCGCAGAGGATAATGCTACTGGCAAGAAAAAAGTGGAAGTCTTTACCTCTGCTGGAGCTCACTTGTGAACTATAGATCCAGAACAGCCGTCTTTCATTTGAGTTGATCATCCCTTAACAATCTATTAGTTATAAAGGGAGGGGATTTCTGACTTTATAGAAAGATCACAAGATTGGAAAAAACTAGTTGGGTTCCTTCATTGGCTACTATAACTAGCTGTATGACCAGTCACAAGGCTTGGACCTTGGTTTCTTTATCAAACTACATGATAGTTTTCAAAATACTCTTAAGTACATTATTTCATTTGATCCTTTTGATAAATTGTATTAGTGAGAAAGAATGACAGGTCAAGTTAGGTGAGGATTCAGAGTTGATCAGTGGATTTTAGGAATTTGGAAGTCATTGGTGACCTTAACAAAAGCATCTTCTGAAAATTTGGAAGGAGGGTGGTAAAAGCCCAAACAAATCACCTAGAATTAAATGACATTGGAAGTCAAGGAATTAAAGATAGCATGCATGGATGACTCAAAAGGAGGTTTGTCGTCTAGGGAAACAGATAAGTGGGGTGGTGCTAGATGAAATGAAATACAGAATCAAAAGGTTTTTTACAGTATGTGCTTATGCTCACTGGAGAATGATCCAGTAGAAACAGAATATTTAATACAACAGGGAAGATGTGATCTAGTGGATAAGTTGAAAGATTAGCTTTAGATAATAGATAACAGTATGAATAGTTCATAGTAGCAAGAGAGGGTAGAATATATAGGCAAGTAGGTATATAGATGTAGTGGATATTTGGGAGTTCTCTTCTAATTGCTTCCATTTTCTCAGTGAAATAAGAAACAGCCATCAGTTCATTCCAAAAAGTATTGATACTTAGTGAGTCAGGTGATGGGGACCGGATATATAAAGAGAATAGAAAGGAACCGAGAGTAGAACATTAATCTTTGGAAATTCCAGTAATAAAGGCATTATTAGTGGTCTGAATAATTTGCAAACTTCTGGAGTGGGTGAGTGGGTATAGTTAAGCAGAAAGTTTCATTGTTAATTCTTACACCACCAGTTCCTTCTACAAAGACAAGGTGGGAGAGAATTAAGGAAAGGAAATGTTGGATGGGTGTAATGTAGGGGAGAAAAGTTCCAGGATTTTTTGTTCTCAGTGACGTAGGCTTTTGATTAGTATAGAGCAGGTTTGTCAACCTTGGCACTGTTTTGGGACTGAGATGTTGGGGATGGAAGTTTCCCATATGTTGTAGAGCACTTAACAGCATACCCTAGTGTCTGCCTCTCAGAATACCAACAGCACTACCCCATCACTTATTGTGATAACCAAAAAATGTCTCCTGATATTGGCAAAAGTGCCTTTGGCTGAGAGCCACTGAAATAGACGTTAAGAATATGGGCTTTTTTAGCCATATTACTTGGATTCAAATCCTGATTCCAACAATTAACTATCTGAAAGTTCCTCAGCAAGTTTACTTAAGTTCTCTCTGCTTTAAAATGATGAAAATAATAGCGTTTTGAGAGTTGAATTACTTAATGCATGTGAAACATTTAAAAGTCACTGGCAAACAGTGAACACTTGGTAAATGTTCATTTTTATTGTCTGATGAGAGCAGAGGGTGCAGGGGTGAAGTCATGCATGGTTTGAAGATAATACCTTTGGTGGATGGAAGCCTGTTAAGGATAAGGAAAAGTGTACCTGAGCAGTGTTTGAGGCTCATTTGATTTTGGAGCTCATAGATTTCTAGTGAAACCGGTGTCTCTGTCCGTTCAGCTAATGACCTTCCTTTTGTGAGAAGGTGTGTAACAAGCAAACATTTGGGATGATCCAGGCCTTAAAATTGGTAAATAAGGGAGCCTTAGGTTTTGAGACTGATTTTGATATTTGGGGCTGTTCATGTCATTTAGGGATGAGATTGTATGCAGCCCAGAGAAAACCAGCAGTGAGTCTATGAATTACTGAAGGGTCTGAAGAAAAGGGAGTGGTTTTTCTCTAAGATTGAAGGTTAGGATTAGTGAGACAAGAATAAGCTAAACAAGACAGTTAAGCTTAAAGCAAGATAGGTGCCCTATTTAGTAGTTGGAAGAGCTAGAAAAAGCAGGTTTGAATGTGGCCATGACTGTGGGCTGCTATAGCTGAATCCTTTTATAATTGATTTGGAGATCATAAGGTTAGAGTGTTGGATTGGATCAATAATTCAGACATGAAATTATCTGTGTTAGGCATAATTAAGCAGTAGATGGTGGCTTGGTGACTGTGTTTAGAGAATTTGGGGAATAGCCTGGAGTTAGACAATACCTGAATAACTGAGGATGTGGAGAGGATGGCATTTCTACATAAGAACTTCAAAAAAAGAGAGACAATGACATGGTAGTCTTGTGAAGGGTATTGGGAATTTAGGAGGATACCAAATCCACTTCCCAACATTGAAGAGGTTTTAAGAGGAAGTTTAAGGAAAAGTTTTAAAGAGATAATCAGAAGATATTTAGTTAATTAAATTTGTTTTTCATCAGGGGAACTTCTGTTGCAGTTAGGTCGTTTGGAAGATGCAGCTGACGTTTATAGAGGATTACAAGAGAGAAATCCTGAAAACTGGGCCTATTACAAAGGCCTGGAAAAGGCACTCAAACCAGGTAGTATTGTTTAAAACGTTTTAAGTTTTTAATTGCTCCCTTTGTGGATAAATATTTTATTAACTCATTGAAAAAGGCATAACTAGAAAAATAGTGGTTAAGAATTGGTTTCAAAATCTGAATACATAAGTACAGTTTTAAACTTCCATTTAATATGGCAGATTGAGCATTTTCTGAAACCTCTCTTCTACACACTTATAGAAATAGTTGAAAGAAGAATTTCAGAAACAACTTAAAAATTCACAAATGGCATGGCAGCATAAAAGATGGAAAGGGAAATTCCTACTGACAGAAATGTCTCCTTACTTACAGAGATGTCTCCCTAAAGGAAAGAAGCAAGCTTAACTTCTGTGGCCACAGCAGCATGGCCTGCCGAGGGCACATGAATGTAGCCAAGTTGAAAGAACAGTACTGCTTCCTTTGTGGGAAGAGGGACTAAATTTCCATCAGTCAAATGAACTTGGGTCCAGAGACTCTGCCCACAACTCCCCTTCACCCTCTCCCATGAATGGGACCCACTTGTGAGGACAGACCCAGAAACGTTATCTACAGATAGGGTCCTTAGCCAAGGTGATCTGATTTGAGGCTGTCTCCCTCAAGACCTGTAGTGAGCCATTACTGATACATTGATATATACAAGAGAAACCTTGTAACAAAGAATATTTTACTACTATGGAACACTATCACAGGAATGGTAATCATTAGTACAGCAAAAGGGAGTAAATGGAGGAATCTAAGATGAAAAAAGGAAATTGCAGTCATGAAATATGAAGAATTATGAGAAAGTACCAATTAGGAATCTAGGAAATGAAAAGCCTACTTATTTTTTTTTTTTTAAAGATTTTATTTATTCATTTGAGACAAAGAGATACAGAGAGAGAGAGAGCATCAGTAGGGGGAGAGGCAGAGGGAGAGGGAGAAGCAGGCTCCCTGCTGAGCTAGGAGCCCGATGTGGGGCTTGATCCCAGGACCCTGGGACCATGACCCGAGGTAAAGGCAGACGCTTAACCATCCTAGCCACCCAGGCACCCCGAAAAGCCTATTTATTGACATAAAAATCTTAATAGATTGAATGGAAGAGGGTCCACAACTAAGAAGTTAGTGAACTGGAAGATTGAACTGAGGAGAGCTTTCAACTGAGAGTGAAAGGAAATATAAAATAAATATGGAGAAATGGAAGATTAGGGGATAGATCCAAAAGCTCTAAAATAAAGGATAGGCTGAAGAGAATAGTAGAGAAGGAAAGGAAACATAATAACCAAGCCTTTCTTAGAACTAAAGTTAACTGAGTCCTTAGATTCTGAAAGGTACCTAAAGCAGAAAGGTTAAAGAAAATTATGTATTTTAGATGATTATAGGTATTTAAAATATGAAAATATTAGAAAAATATTGTAAAATGATTGTTGGTATGTTTAGGTGGTTAGATTTATAAATTTTCACCTTCAGCTTTTCTGCTTAATAAGAATTTATATATACTTGGAGAAATTTATAATTTGCTAGAAAACACGTGCAAGTTATAATTATATATAAAAAGAATTATTTTGTTTGTTTGCAGCTAATATGTTAGAACGACTAAAAATTTATGAGGAGGCCTGGACTAAATATCCCAGGGGACTGGTGCCAAGAAGACTGCCATTGAACTTTTTATCTGGTGAGAGTAATTGCAAAGGAATGAAAATGATATAGGGTTTACAGTTTGTTTTCTTGGTTTTAGATATATGAGTATGCATATTAATATTAAAGTATGCATTTTAGAGTTGCCTGGGTAAATGCAAATCAACAGAATTTTTTTCTTCCAAGGTGAGAAGTTTAAAGAATGTTTGGATAAGTTTCTAAGGATGAATTTCAGCAAGGGTTGTCCACCAGTCTTCAATACTTTGAGGTCATTATACAAAGATAAAGAAAAGGTAAAGCCAAATACCACTTCTTCCCCGCTATCATTTCTCCGCTCAGTATTTGGAATCGTTGATTCTTGATTATCTGTGTACATAGTACACATTTTGTGAATCTGCTGTTTTCCTGTCTTGTGGTTTAAATGCTTCTGTATCTCTTACTTTTCATCCTTTTTTCTTTTTAATCAAGTAACTTATTATTTCCTTATTTTCTCTTTTATTTCTGCTATTTACTTTGAGTCAGTGTAGGTATGAAAAGTTGGTAAGGTAGTGATTTCTTCAGTATTTTCTCTAATCCTTGGTCATGGTGAAAGTCAGAAGTGATATTTTAAACTAAGGTTTAGCTTAGTAATCTTTCTTCTTATTTGGTAGAAAAAAAAATTGTGTCAGCAGTTTGTTTGCTGTCCTAGTAAGTTAACTTACTCTTTTAGCTATGTATAATAATGCTCAAATTGCTTATTAAGAGGGTGTTTTAATTTAGATTATTTTGCTTACAAGTACAGTGACATCAAGGCATGTTGGTTGGATAAAAATAAATCAGTTACAGTGAAGAATCAGAAAGATGGGACTAATTGAACATGCTAAACACTTTAACCTAAGCACAGAAGGTGTGCTTATTTTCCAGTCTTTTGTTGAGAGGCCCAAGGTATGGGCTTAATGATGACGTTCACTCTTTTTTTAAATTGCATAAATCACATTCATAAAATGTGGTCTGTTGTTTTCAGTATCAAAAGTGTGGGAACGCTTGATTATAGCGTCTTGATTATAGAAGCCTATATATTAATGATTTTCCCCTTTATGGTTGTATTATTGAAACCTGAATTTGTTAGAAGTATCTAATTTATCCTTGAGTCTTTCCACGGTATTCAACTTAAAACAGTTTTTTCTTTTGTTCTCATTAAGTTTGCATAATTTTGAATTAAATTCTGTAATGATGATAATAAATGCAACTGATTCAAACAGGTTTGGGAAAACAAAACTTAGTAAGCATGTAGCTCAACTTGTGGGAGCAGAAGAACATGGGCGCACCAGAATAACCTAGCTGTGACCATTCAGTCCTCATAATTTTCTGAGGTAATGGAGAGAGCTGGCGTTAATCTGTTGAATTGGTGAAGTCGAGATCATTTAGGAGAGCTTCTATAGTAACAAATCCATTATAGATGGATTAAGTGAAGAAGGGAATTAATAAATTAAAGTATTCACAGATCTCTTACAAAGCCAGGAGCAAGTGGTATAGTCATGACTCAGGAGAAACCAGAACCTGGACATCCACTCACTATCCTGGATTTCAGAAACCCACCCACTTTTCTGTTTCAGTTTTACTAATGCTTTCCCTTGGATTCTAAAATTGAGAGTTGATGCTCTTATGTACTTTTGGAATTTCTCTTTTCATGTAGTTTTTAATTCTTGATTCCTAAAGGGCAGATGTTAATTGTGGGTGTTACTTATGTGAATTGAGATAAAAATGAACAAGATAAGAGTCATCCACAATATTACCTACAGTATTACCTTTTTTAATCCAACCTTTTCCTGATTTCTAGCTCAGCTTGATGCATATTCCCTCCTTTCTAGCGGGGAAGGGAGTGGCCAGTAAGTTCTTAGAAAGTTTTATCTTTTTTTTTTTTTAAGACTTTATTTATTTGAGAGAGAGGGAGAGCACGAGCAGGGGGAGGGGCAGAGGGAGAGGGACAAACACACTTGCCACTGAGCGCAGAGCCTGACGTGGGGCTCAATCCCAGGACCCTGAGATCATGACCTGAACCAAAATCAGGAGTCAGGCACTTAACGAACTGAGCCACCCAGGCACCCTGAAAGTTGTATCTTAATATCGTCAAAAATATATGGTTTACTTGCTTTTAAGTTTTTATCCATAGGTTAAGAGGTTTTATAAGAGGGTGTGTACGTGAGTGTGTGTGTGCATGTGCGTGTTTTGGAATGTTGATGTAGCCCTTTAAAATAGTAAATAACATGTTTTGTAGAAGAATGGTAACTGCATGTATATATATTTTATTAAAGTGTGCTTGTGTGTTTGTACTCTAGGTGGCAATCATAGAAGAATTAGTAGTAGGTTACGAAACCTCTTTAAAAAGCTGCCGGTTATTTAACCCTAATGGTAAGTGCTCAAGTTTTATGTTTTAAAAACATTTTGAAATTTTTAATATATTATGAAATTATTAATCAGAAGGTCAGTATTGTTCATTATTTAGACAGTAAGCTTAGCATATTTAAACTTTTTTTAAGATGGAGATGCATTAATTTGCACATTGTGTGAAAATATGTGGTTAAGAGAATCATCTTACTGGAAAAAAATGTAAAATTTAAAACATTTACAAAACTAGATCTAATCATACAATGATCCTCCATCATTTACCCATCATCCAGTTTCAATAATTTTTAACTCATGGGAAAGCATATTTCATCTATATTCTTACCTACTTCCCTCTTTTCGCATGTTATTCTGGAGCAAATCCCAAACATCACATCATTTTATCCATGACTATTTCAGTATTCTAACGATCATAACCAAAGTATCATCACCACACCTGAACATTAATACTTTGTTAAGATCAAAGAAAAAAGTCCATGCTTACATTTCCAGTTATCTTAGAAATGTCATTTTTTTTCTTCCCTGCCTTTGAAGTTGTTTGAATGAGGATTCATATGAAATCTGTACTTCGAGTTTGATATGGCTCACCTCTCTTATAAAAAATCTATAGGTTTTCTATTTGTTTTTTTCCCTGCAATTTATTTGATTAAAAAATTGGGTTTTTTTCTTAAGTTTTTCTACAGTCCAGATTTTGCTGAATGGACTCTCATGGTGTTGCTTAACATGTTTTTCCTCTGTCCTCTGAATTTGTTATAAATTGGTAGTTGGATGTAGAGCTGTGCTGTCTAGTATAATAGCTATTAGCCACATGTGACTATTAAAATTTTTTAAATTAAATAAAATTAAAAATTCAGTTCCTCAGTTGCAGTAGACACATTTCAGGTGCTGCTCAGTAACTGTGTAAAGCCAGTTGCTACTACCATATTTGCCAGGGCAAATACAGAACATTTCCATCCTTGCAGAAGCTTCTAATGGACAGGTCTGAGTAGAGGATTAATGAGATTTACTTTTTTTTGTTTGTTTCGTTTTAAATATAGGGGGTGAACAAGGTGGTTATTTCATGGGTAGAGTGGTAGTATATTCTTCCATCAGGAGGCATTTAGTGTTTGTTTTGTGTGTTAGCAACTGTCAGGAATTACAAACTGGTGATAGTCTATCATTCATCTTCTGTTATCTTTTTTTTTTCCATCTTCTGTTATCTTAGAAGAGAAATTTGCCTTCCATCTGTTACCTGTTTATCCAGTTATTTTGGTTTTTATATAGGAAAAGCAAGATAAATGCTGTTTCTGTCCCCTGTATCTCCTACTTTTTGTTGTTGGTGTTCTTTACCAGTTTTCAAAATAATGAATTCACTTAGTAGCATCCTTCAAAGGTGCCAGGGCACATTTTAAAGGTATTATGAATTCATGGGTTTAAACATACTTGATGTTTTAAATCATTGCAGTTTCAAATGGCTCCAGCCTTCACATACCATGGTGTAGTAGTTGATAGCTTTTTTGCAGTTTGGTATGACAAGATATTCCAGCTCATCTGGTACACTGCCCATAGCAGACCTGGAATCAGTTGTTTTTCCAAAGGAGCCCTGGTTCTTACAGTGGGAAACCCCGGTATGGGACCTGGGGTGCTCATTGCTTTTGGGTTGATTATTGTTTCTAGGTCTCAGATTAATTTTAATAATGCTTTTTAGAAGGCGTTACCATGGTTTCATTGGTTAATCATCATAATGTTCCTTTGATTATCAGCATTTTCCTACATATTTTACAAATGTGGAAGAGGTTCAATGACATGCCCAAGAATATGCAGCACTTTAGTTGCAGATCTATCAGATCGGGAGTTGGTGAGTTCCACTCCTATTGTTTGTCCACTGAGCCATCCTGCTTTTATTAGGATAAAAATAAGCAATCTATTGCTTTCTTTGAAAGCAAATAACAGTTTTTAGATTTTAGATATTGGTATTTAAAAAAGTATTTTATAATGTGTGGGTTGTATATTTAACTTACACATTTTCTTGTGAGTATATAAAAATTATGAACTAAAATGTAGAGTAAGCATTTTTACTTAATCTCATTTTTTGGGTATAGTTTTTACTCAGCCTAAATTATGCATCATTGCATATCAGCATAATGTTAGAATATATTAATATAATCACCCAAAACTCAACCACATCACAAGTATATTTATGTATAGTTTAGTACATTAGCTAGAAACCCAATTAAGCAGTCAGGCCTTTTTTTTTTTTTTTTTTAAACCTCACATTAATGGAAAATCAGAATTTCTTCTGATACCTTTTTCGCCCCTCATGAATAATATCCTGATCTTTACACTTTCATAGTACTAGCACAACTTGTCTCCCTCATCCCTGCCCCCCCCATTCCTTTCAGTTTCTTTTTTTGGGTAATTTTTTATATCTTTGATCTCATTTATCTGCCATATTTATTATACAAAGTTCTTACTAAACTCAAGGTAATGTGTTAGGGGCTGTAATGATACAGAACAGACAACATGGTCCCTTCCAAAGATCTTACGAATTTAAGGATGGTTTTATAGCTAGATACATAAATAAATGGTTCAAACTACTTTTCCTTATTAATAAAGATAAAGCCATTTGGAGGTGGGTACTCTCTTAATATATGTAATGACTAATCTTGGTTTATTTCCTCTCCCACCCACCTCCCCCACTTTTTAAAGATGATGGAAAAGAGGAACCACCAACCACATTACTTTGGGTCCAGTACTACTTGGCACAACATTATGACAAAATTGGTCAGCCATCGATTGCTCTGGAATACATAAATACCGCTATTGAAAGTACACCTACATTGATAGAACTCTTTCTTGTGAAAGCTAAAATCTATAAGGTAAAAATCTTCCCTCCTGCTTTTTTTTATAAGGTAATGAGTCTTACAAAAACTTTTTTCTATAATTTGTAGATTTTAAAAGCTGTAATAAAAATGATATATTTGATGACTCGTAAAACCTGGAATAAGTATAGAACATTTCTCAGTCTGATTACTTTTAGATTTGTCATGGTCATAATTTACTCATTTATATCTCTGTATACACACAGATATACATACATGCATATGGTTATTCAGAAATGTGGTTATTCATATTACATATTCTTATACATTCACACACATGTCTGGTTATTTTCTTGATTTTAAGTAGTAACAGTATAGATACTCTAAAGTAATTTGCTGCGACGTTTGTTTCTATTAACACTTGAGTATGACCATGATCAGTATCTGGTAATCTTAATGAACTGAAACTGAAGATTTTACTATTTTACTTGTCTTCTTAAGTTGGTCTTACTTGAGAATCTCCAGTCGTATGTTTTAGCATCATCTTAAAGTTGGCTCTTCTTTTTCTTAATACAAATACAAATTAGTAATAATAGCTCTTAAGGAAGAGATTATAAACTTAAAATTTATTTACCAAAAATAATGAAATTATTATTTTAAAAGCACTTTTCAAAGCCAGGTTATGCTCATTAGTTTTGTGGCTTTGACAAATGGACTAGTAATGTAAATTAAAACACATCGTGGAATGTCCAGTGATAGGCAGTAATGTTTCCCTAGTTGCTTTAGGTTAGAAATTTGGCCAATACCTTTGCCTTTTTTTTTTTTTTAAACCCCTGATATTCAGCCATGATGCCTTTTATGAACTTTCTGTTGTTCTGACTTAAAGATATTAATTATTTATTCTTAAAATTCAACCATTGTTTTTGAGTATTCATTATGTGCCAGACACTGATAAAGGCAGTGAGGTGTAACAGTAAACAATATTATTAAAACAAGTCTTTACTGTCAGAGAGCTTGTATTCTACATGGCTAGAAAAGTATCAAAATGTATGCATCTACATTGATTAGGGTCTTAAGATCAGTCAGAAGAATATCTTTTTTTTCATTTGTGTTTTAGTTACTTATCAGTAGGTAACTAATTACCTGCATAGTAAAATTAGCATACTGACCGGTTTATTTTGCTTTTCTATAAGCATGCTGGAAATATTAGAGAAGCTGCGAGGTGGATGGATGAGGCCCAGGCCTTGGACACAGCAGACAGATTTATCAATTCCAAGTGTGCAAAGTACATGCTAAAAGCCAATCTGATAAAAGAGGCTGAAGAAATGTGCTCAAAGTTTACAAGGGTTTGTACAGCTAGTGTTCTTATGAATAGTTTATACTTGTATATCTTGCTTATTTTTCAAAATTTCTTTCTAGTATTTTTAGTATCAAAATAGGATTTTAATTAAATTACCTTAGGGGAAAGAAACTGAAATCAATATTAGTATAAAACATAATTTTCTTTTTAGTTGGTTGTACAGTGGGTTATTTAACTGATTTATATTGATGTATATTCAGATGAATTTTTAAGGGTGAAAGGAACTAATGTTAATTGACTACCTGCTGTGTGCTAATGTTCTCTTTCTTATGTTATTTTCCAACCCCAGTTATGTAGATCTTTTGATTATTTACAAAGGTACATTTTTTTTCAGTGATCAGAAATATAATTCCAATTTCTTACACATAATAACAGTTTCCTCTTACTCTGAAAACAGTTAAAAAGAAAGTTATTTTGAAAGAATTCAAATCAATTGACCATATTTTCCTTCTTAAATGCTATGGTGAAATGGTGTATTTGGTAAGAAATGGTCTTGAATGCATATAATTTTTCATATAGGAAGGAACATCAGCGGTAGAGAATTTGAATGAAATGCAGTGCATGTGGTTCCAGACAGAATGTGCCCAGGCTTATAAGGCAATGAATAAATTTGGTGAAGCACTTAAGAAATGTCATGAGATTGAGAGAGTAAGTACCATATATATATATATATATATATATATATGAGTTTCTCATTTTATTGTAATATATTGAAGGTTTTGGACAACTCTAGTTTTTTCTTCTTTATAAATCACAGTGAGTGATTTCTAAATATCAGTTCTCACGTTGTTTCAGTTTTTTGATGGAAATGTTATAGACTACATTTTCAGCAGACTTGCTCATTGTCTACTCTTCATGTGAAAAACTTGATAGAAAGTTTGTAGCTTGGCTATGTTTTTATCGATGTTGAATGTTTCAAACTGCTGCTCCATCTTCAGTAATACAAAGCTCATTAAGTTATCCTAGAAAGCTGTTTTGTTAAGGGGTTGATTGGTGATGTATACCCTTGATAGTCCTAAGATACAAGCTTTGAGTCCTTTTTACAGTATTTCTCTAGCCAGCATAACATTGTGTAGGACTCAGATTTGTATTTTTAGAAAAATTACCAAATACTACATATAGTCTTGCAGGTCATTCTAAATATAAAAACTGAATGTTTAATGTGTAAATGTACTACATCATTATGTATATTAATAAATTATGTTTGATTTGACATGCTAGCTTTAAGTATGATTTAAGGAAGGAATAAATACATATATTTCAAATCATGTGTTTCCTTTTCATTCACCAAATAATTCAGTGCTTGGTGTATGCCATATACTGTGCTAGGGGATACCAATTATATTTGCTTATTTGATGTGCAAAGTATTTATATTGGGTGATTGTAATTTTTAATCTTTTTATTTTACTAATATTTTCATGCATAGGAAAACAAGTAATTCCGAGAGTTTGATTTCTGTAGTTTTCTTTGACATTGTTATACTTCAGTATAATAAAAAAAATAATTTTGTCAGCATTTTATAGAAATCACTGACGACCAGTTTGACTTTCATACATACTGTATGAGGAAGATTACCCTTAGATCATATGTGGACTTACTAAAACTAGAAGATGTACTTCGACAGCATCCATTTTACTTTAAAGCAGCAAGAATTGCTATAGAGATTTATTTGAAACTTCATGACAACCCCCTTACAGATGAGAATAAAGAACATGAAGCTGATACAGGTATAATATTCAAAGATTTCTTATTATTTGCTATGGTGTGTATATGTGTCTTTGTATTTTTGTGTAGCGTAGATTTTTCTTGAGCTTTTTTAGTGAGCACTTTGTGGGAAGATGTTATACATGCTTAGAAAATGATGATGGACATTTTGTGGATTTCCCTAAGCAATAAAAGAAAAATACTGTTTATACTTTGAAAAGTTAAGCAAGAATTTAATTTGTAACTTATCATTAGCTTTTAAGAAGTTGAATTTCATGAGTTTAACATCTAAAATCTGGTTTACTCAGTACTGTAAATTGCTAACTATCATTAGTGTCAGCACTCTACATTAGTGTTGGCTGTCAGTATATCTAGTTACTCTATTCTTCCTTGTAATAGTTATTTATAATTAACCTACTGAAAGGTGAAAATTGCTTGAACATTAAAAGCCAGTTTGGAATTAAACTAATAAGATTGCCTAATAATTTATCATTTGGCCAGTTTTTAAAGTGTTGTTTTTATATCATGATGCCAGAATGTATAGTCTTCCCTAGGGAAAGGTTCTCAGAATAAAAATGATACAGGCATGTAGAAGGATATAAATATACATCCAAATATTTTGTGAGTTGTTCATGGCAAAAATGTTACATGAGGTGGTGGAAAAAGTGTGTCAGATTTTATTATTCAGTCCTAAGCTTATTCCTCTTCTGAAAAGTTATGGTTGGTGGTTTTGTGTAGCCTTCTTCCTGATAAAGACCTTTGGATCCTTTTGTTAATTTTTATTAAAATTTAAAATCACACATTGAAACCCTTGTATAGATTTCATTTGATGCTCTACATGTTGTTGCTTCTTTAACTAGAAAGAAAATGCCAGTAACAATCTACAAAACAATTACAGTTGAAGCTGAGAGCTGTGATCCTGTGGCTTCTTTTTTTTTTTTTTAATTTTTTTTATTATGTTAATCACCATACATTACATCATTAGTTTTTGATGATCCTGTGGCTTCTTTTATCTTTCTGTTCACTCCTCCTGCCTTTCTCCTCTTCTTCAGATTATTCAAATAATAGACAATTAACTCTATACAAAGTTAAAACAATTCAGAAATACACTGGCAAATGTGAAAATCCCCTTTCACTAGTCTCCATACCCATAGATAATCTTCTTTCAAAGGTTATTGCTATCTCTAGAAAAGGTTCAGTTGCCTTTGTACACAATTACATATTTCAGTTATATGTGTACGTAAACTCCACACACGCATATCAGGGCAGTTCTTTGAGGTTGTTTGGTTTACATTTGTTTTATTTTTCTAGCCCCATAAATGAGTGATATTATTTCCAGTATTCTGCAACTTAGACTTGTTTTTTCATAGTGTTGCTCCATATCTGGACATAACTTATTACGATCATTAGTCATTTTAAAAGCTATGTAGGAACCTATGTGGGTTTTTTCCCCTCACCATTACAGTGCTATAGTAAATGTCCTTGTATATCATTTTGTACTTGTTTATTTAGCGTGGATTGTTAGAAGTGGAAATTCCTGGGTTAAAGAGTATAAAAATTTGAAATAGTGTCAAATTGCCTTCCTTAAAAGGTTCATCAATTTTTATTGCCACAGTATTGAGCTTATCTTTTACTTTATTGAGCTTATCTTTTCCTTTATTGCTAACATAAAAAATTATCCATCCTTTACATTTTCATTATTTTGGGGAAAATATCTGACTTATAATTCCTAGATTATTTAGAGATTTATTTATTTATTTTTAGAGAAAGAACGCGTGTGTGCATGTACATCTGGGGGGTGGGGCAGAGGGAGAGAAAGTCCCAAGCAGACTTTGCGCTGAGCGTAGAGCCTGACTTAGGGCTCGATCTCACAACCCCAAGATCATGACCCAAGCTGAAATCAAGAGTCAGACACTCAACTGGCTGCACCACCCAGGTGCCCCTATAATTCCTAGGTTTTTTTTTTTTTTTTTAAGATTTTATTTATTAGAGAGCATGCACAAGCAGGAAGAAGGGTAGAAGGAGAAGCAGACTCCCTGCCGAGCAGGGAGCCCATTATGGGACTCGATCCCAGGACCCTGGAATCATGACCTGAGCTGAAGGCAGACACTTAACTGACTGAGCCACCCAGGCACCCCTAATTCCTAGATTTTTAAGAATGGAACATCTGTGTATGTTTTCATGTGGCCTTTGGCTTTCTCATATAAATTGCCTGTTCATGTCTTTTTCTCATTTTATTTTTCAACTTGGTTTGTAGAAGTTCTCTGCATGTTCAGGACTTTAATCCAATTGTTTATGTATTACAGAAATTTTCTTCCTGTTTTACTTTGGTCTTTATGGTAGATGTCTTTTATTATGGAAAAGTATTATTAATTTATATGAGCTAAAATTTCTATAGTCTTTTGTGGCTTCTAAGACTTGCATAGAAAGGCTTTTTTACTTCAGAATTTAAAATATATTTATTTTAGAAGATACTTATCTTCTGTGTTTCCTTACGATATTTTTTTATGTTATGCTAATTAGCATACATTACATCATAGTTTTTGATGTTGTGTTCCATGATTCATTGTTTGCATATAACACCCAGTGCTCCATGCAGTACGTGCCCTCTTTAATACCCGTCACCAGGCTAACCCATCCCCTCACCCCCTCCTCTCTAGAACCCTCAGTTTGTTTCTCAGAGTCCATAGTCTCTCATGGTTCATCTCCCCTTTCGATTCCCCCCCCCTTAAAATATTCTGTTATGTTTACAGTCATCTGGAGTTAATTTTTTTAAAGATTTATTTATTTATTTTGAGAGGGTGGGGGAAGGGTAGAGAGAGAGGGTGAGTGAGAATCCCTAGCAGACACAGGGCTCCATCCCATGACCCCGAGACCATGACCCCAGCCAAAACCAAGAGTTGTATGCTCATCTGACTGTACCACCCAGGCACCCCTCATCTGGAGTTAATTGTTACATAATGATGTGAAGTAGAATGTAGCTTATTACCCCCAGATAGGTGGCTGACTCCTCAACAGTATTTTTGATATGTTGTCATATTCCCCACTGATTTCAAAAGGGGCGCCTGCCTGGCTCAGTCTGTGGAGCATGCGACTCTTGATCTCTGGGTTGAGTTCGAGCCCCACATTGGGTGTAGAGATTACTTAAAATCTTTAAAAATAAAAAAATAAAATGCCACCTTTATCATGAACTAAACTGTGAAATACAATGTAGTGGGTTGTGGGTATGGTGTCTGGTTCCCACATACATCAAAAATTCCTGTAAAGACCTTAAACTGTGGTATTGACATCAGTATACAGGTTTCTGTTCTTATGATCTCTTTGTCTCTTAAAATCTAATACTCTGTCTTTAGAATTTTCTGGCTTTTGGGGGGTGGGGGGATGGGTTAGCCTGGTGATGGGTATTAAAGAGGGCACATTCTGCGTGGAGCACTGGGTGTTATGCACAAACAATGAATCATGGAATACTACATCAAAAACTAATGATGTAATGTATGGTGATTAACATAACAAATTATTAAAAAAAAGAATTTTCTTGCTTTTATATGAACTTGCTTTTATATTTGAACTGTAGAATTACCTTGTCTGTCAGAAAGTTTCTTTTGGAGTTTTTTTTTTTAAGATTCTTATTTATTTATTTGACAGAGAGAGAGTTAGAGCAGGAACACAAGCAGGGGGAGTGGGAGACGGAGATGCATGCTCTCTGCTGAGAAGGGATCCCAGGACCCTGGGATCATGACCTGAGCCGAAGGCAGTCGCTTAACCGACTGAGCCACCCAGGTGCCCCTCTTTTGGAGTTTTTAATTTAAATTGCATTTGAGATACAGATTACCATTTGGGGTGGGAATATCTTAAATAATATCGAATCTTTGCGTACTAGAATGCATTGTATCTCCTATTTCTGTTTTAGTGTGTAATATAGCTTTGGTGAATTTACTACTAGCATCATCTCTACGTGTCTTTTTTTTCCATTACAGTATTCTAAATGAATATTATCATAGTTTTTGTTTTGTCAAGTTGGTATCCTTATTGAACTCTGATATTAGGTTTAGTAATTTTTTCAGCTGATTTTTAAAAAATTGTCTATGGGGTGCCTGGGTGGCTCAGATGGTTAAGCATCTGCCTTCGGCTCGGGTCATGATCCCAGAGTCCTGGGATCGAGTCCCGCATCTTCTCCCTCTGCCTCTCTCTCTCTCCCCCCCCCAGTCTCTCATGAATAAATAAAATCTTTAAAAAAAAATTGTCTATGTAAGCTGTTACATTAATCTGTAAACATTGGTAGTTTGTTTTCTGTCAGTATTTATACCTCTTTTTCATATCTTATTGCATTGGTGAGGGTTGCTAAAACTGCTAATTAATGGAAACAGTAGTATACTTGCTGCCTTTTTTATCTTTAGACATAATGTTTCTAATGGTCCACCATAAAGCTTGCGATTTATAGTAAATATCTGGTAGTTACCCTTTATTTGGTTGAGAAGTTATTTTTTGCTTCTTAGGTTTTTATCTTTTCAGTAAATTTTTTAAGATTTTACTCATTTATTTGACAGAGACACAGCGAGAGAGGGAACACAACAGGGGGAGTGGGAGAAGGAGCAGCAGGCTTCCCGTGGAGTCAGGAGCCCGATGCAGGGCTCCATCCCAGGACACTGGGATCATGACCTGAGCCGAAGGCAGATGTTGAACGACTGAGCCACCCAGGCACCCCTATCTTTTCAGTAAACTTAAAAGAGTCTTGCTAATGTGGCCAGATTTATTTTGCCTTCTTATGTGAATGTTGATTTGGCTGTATAGAGTAGTCTAGGTTTAGGTGTTGTTTGCTGTGTATACACATATATGCATGCGTACACATACATATACACACCAATTTTTTATTTTTAATATAGTACAATATTCTAGCATAGTAGAATTCTCTGGCTCCTTCTAAGCGAAAATTCTGATCTCTATTATGTTCACATAAGTAAAAGGTAATTCATGTAAAGTTGAGACCGTGCTTATCCAGATAAATAGTGCTACATTAAGTGAAACAGGATTTGAATTCTTAATTTCTGTATTAACTTCTGATGTGGTTATTCCTTTCTCTATTTTTGTAAGGCAACTCTATTATTATGAACTGGGTGAGTCCTTTCAAGGCAGTAGGCGATAATATAGAATAAGATCACAAAATAGCCAGTGGGCCAGATCCGTACTGCAGTTTGATTTGATAAATGAAGTTTTATTGGGACATAGCCTATTCGTTTATGTATTATTTATGGTGAATTTTGTGCTACAGTAGCTGAGTTTAGTAGCACCAGAGACCCATGGCTTACAGAGGTGAAAATATTTAGTATCTGGCCCATTATAAAAAAAGATTATTGATTCCTTGTGTAGCATAGTGGAAAGAAAGAGCCCAGATTTTGGAGTCAGAGTGAAGTGGATTTAAATCCTTGTTCTGCCTTTTGTTACTACTCTTGAGTTAATATTTTTCCTCTGAAACCTCAGTTTTCTCATACATAAAATAATATTACACTCTATATATAAAATAATATTACACTCTAATCAATGAGATTATTGAGGATATTAAGTAAAATAATGTATGCATGGTATCTGGCATGTAGTAAGGAAGCAAGTGGTAGCAGTTATTTTACAAGTCATTAAAAGGCCAGAATTTTTGTGGTTATTCATTTATAAATGTCTTATACTTCCAGAATGTAATTTTTTGGTCCTTGTTTGAAATTTCTTTTTTAGTAGTAAGGGCTTCTTTACTAGGAAAAAGAGAAACCGGTGTGTATTTGTTTTTGAAGGTTGTTGTGTATTGACACGTAATAAATTTCCCTAAATTTAGCAGCTTAAAACAACTATTTCCATAGTTCAGGAATTTAGAAGCATCTAGGTTGTTTCAGCTCAGGCTCTCTTATAAAGTTATAGTTAAGTTGTTGGCTGAGGGTTGTTGGGGGGTGCGCTGGGGGGACACCTGGGTGGCTCAGTTGGATAAACGTCTGCCCCTTTGGCTCAGCTCAGGTCATGACATCAGGGTCCTGGGATCGAGCCCCACATCGGGCTCCCTGCTCAGTAGACAGCCCGCTTCTCCCTTTCCCTCTCCCATTGCCCCTGCTTGTGGGCTCTCTTTCAAATAAATAAATAAAATCTTTTTAAAAAAAGGTTGATTGGGGCTACAATCATCTGAAAGCTTAACTAGGGCTAGAAGATCATTTCCCAGATGACTCACTCACATGGCTTTTGGCAGGTGGCCTTAATATGTTAGTCTCTCTAGAGGGTTTCTTCAGTTCCTCAAGGCATAGTAGCTAGCCATGAGAGCAAGGAAGAAGCCACAACACTTTTAATGTTCTGCTCTCTTAACATAACACCCCATCACCTCCTACATGTTCTATTTGGTAAAAGTGAGTCACCAAGTATAACCGATATTTGAGTGGGAGAAGAATCAAACAATTTGTAGTCATATTTTTAACTGCCATATTCTGCATTCTGGACACATTATTTACATTTTTCTTTTTTTTTAAGATTTTATTTATTTATTGGAGAGAGAGAGAGAGACAGCGAGAGAGCAGGAGCAGGGAGAAGAGGGAGAAGCAGGCTCCCCACTGAGCGGAGAGTGATGTAGGGCTCGATCCCAGGACTCCGGGATCATGACCTGAGCCAAAGGCAGATGCTTAACCGACTGAGCCACCCAGGCACCCTATTTATATTATCCTTACGTGCAAAATACACTTGCCCCTTCCAAGGCCTTCAAAAGTCTCATTCCATTACAGCATTAGCTTGAAGTCCAGAATGTTAGTTATATGTGTATGAGGTGCTGGTGCTGATGAGATTTCTTGAATATGGTTCTTTAGTATAGCTAGTATTGCTCTTCAAGTATAGTTCTTGGTATGAAATCCTGTGCCAGGGGCACCTGGCTGGCTCGGTCTGTTAAGCATCTCCCGTGGGCTCAGGTCATGATCCCAGCATCCTGGGATGGAGCCCTGTATCGCTCCCTGCTCAGTGGGGAATCTGCTTCTCCCTCTGCCGCTCTCCCTGCTCATTCTCTCTCTCATTCTCTCTCTCGTCTCTTTCAAATAAATAAATCTTAAAGAAATCCTGTGCCAAGTACATGTTCAATATAAATTGATTGCAGAGGAATATTTTTTTTATAGTTACTATCTTTCTTTTTTTTCTTTTTTAAATAATTTTTTATTGTTATGTTAATCACCATACATTACATCATTAGTTTTTGATGTAGTGTTCCATGATTCATTGCAGAGGAATATTCTTATCAAAAGGGGGTGGTGGTGAAGGGGAAATGGGAGACACACAGGAGTTACTGGTTATGTCAGTTCTCAAGTCCAGTTGGGCATAGGGTAGCAGTTCTTTGATTAGGACTCATGCATGATGTAGGACTAATTCTCTAATGGTTCTTGGTTCTATGCTGTGGTTTCTTGGCTCCACCTTCTGCATCTTCTTTCCTTGTTCTTAAGTTAGCATTTGTGGGGTGCCCAGCCAGCTCAATTGGAAGAGCTTGCAACTCTTGATCTTGGGGTGTGTGTTCAAGCCCTATATTGGGTGTAGTGATTACTAAAAAAATTAATTAATTTTTAAAAAGTTAGCATTTGTTTGCACCTGAGTAGTTTTTCAGTCTGCCAAAATTTGGGGGTTCTATTGTACTATCTCTGTTCCTTTCAGTCCAAATTTGCTCTGTTTCTGCCCATAGAATTCTCTTAAAACCTATGATCTTTTGTGAATCTTATTGGAAGGCACATGCACGAATATCTATGCCTACCTTGAGCTTTTGCTGAGAGGACAGCACCCTTGAGTTTCTTAGAAGCTCTGTTGTTTGAAAGGATCAGTGAATCATACCCTTAAAATTTTTAAGAGAAAAGAGCCTTTTGGGTAACCAGTAACTGCTGAAGTACCATCTTTCTGAGTTCTGAGTTTTAAAGGATTTTAAAGCCAAACTCTGCTTTCTCTGTTGACATATTTTCTTGGCAGTTCTCTAAATTTGACCTTTGGTCAGCAGCCATTTTTGAAGAGGCTGAGAATTTTCAAAAACTGTCAAGTCCTTGTTACATTTGTTTCTTTCTTCTGCATTTTTATTACAATCTGCAAGAGGAATCAGGTGCTACCTTAACTACCCCCTCTTTTTTTAGCTTGGAAATCCCTTTAGCTAATCACTCAGTTCATTTGATATATTTTATGATGTTATTAAATACATGTTGTTAAACTTTCTGCCTCTACATGACTATAACATGTGTCACTTGCAGCCTCTTAAAAATCCAATCTCTATTAAATAGTTTAGGGTCCTTTGAGCTTCCCCTAATGCTTTTTTCCAGGTTTTTCCGCCTTTTGCCATACTTGAACCAAAGTCAGTCCTACATTTTAGGTTTTTATTGCAGCAGCACCCCACTTGCAGGTACCAAAATCTGCCTTGGTTATCTGTTGCTGCATAACAGATTGCTTAAACATAGCTTTAGGTAACAAACATTTATTATTTAGAGTTACTGTGGGCCAGGAATTCAGAAGTCACTTAGCTTAGCTGTATGATTTTGAAAGATGTGGGTGCTCTCGGGAGATTGAAGTGAAGATGGCAGCCAGAGGCTTCTGAAGGGTTGACTTGAGTTGGAGAATCCAAGATGGCTTACTCTCATGGCTGTAGGCCTGTTCTTGGCTACCTGGGTCTTTCCATGTTTGTGTATCTTCACAACATGGCAGTTGGTTTCTTTTGAGTGGCCCAAGAGAAAGCAAGGAGGAATCCACCATGGTTTTATGTTCTGATCTTGGATGTCATACACTTTGATTTCTAGCATATTCCATCCGTTGGAAGTGAGTTAAGTATAGCCCACAATTAAGGGGAGGGGAAATAGGCTCTACCTTTTGAAGGAAGGAGTTTATGGGCATATTTGAAAATCACACTGTGATGGTATATTTTAGAATGACTTTTTTCATTTCTCACTGTCAATAAGTATTGCCCAAATAAATACCAGTTGCACATGTAACTTTCAGATTTATTGCTTGAAGACTAAACAATATAGATTTTTTACTTTATTATCTCATATTTGTGATTTCCAGTCTTTCTTTTGAGACATTCCATAGTTTATACCACAAAAGGTATTGTTAATTTTCAGTGTCAAGCTTTTAATTTACCATATAGTTATTTATTATTCCATCAACAAATATTTGAGTGTTTTCTGTATATTCTGCTAGGCCCTGAGAATACAAAAATTAGAAGTAAGACAGGGTCTCTTCCACCAAGGCGTTCACAGTCTAAAAGAGATCCACATGTATAAACGAAGTATTGTGACAAGTAAAATACATGTCATAGTGGCAGCACTGAGTAGAGAATGAATAACTGTGACAAGGTTAGAGAGGCATAACTAAGAAAAAGCATAGTCTAAGGCCGTATAAATATGAGAGAAATATGAGACAGCTTGTTACATTTCTAGAACTGCAAGTATAATATTGCTGGAGGAATTTGTATGCTTTTTTTTATGTTTTGCTGTGGTTGCGGCACCAGGTCTCCACCTGGTTTCAGAACATTTTTTTGAAGAGATCACAGTGTTCTCTATCGAATGTGGAACCATTAAATGGCTAGGTACACATAGGCACATGAACATGTATAACATGTAATATTTTTTATGGGAGTTTTAATGAGAATGTTAGTGATTGATCTTTACTAACCTGATTGATATACTTTTAATTAATTAACACATATTGCCTACAGCAAACATGTCTGACAAAGAGCTAAAGAAGCTACGTAATAAACAAAGAAGAGCTCAAAAGAAAGCCCAGATAGAAGAAGAGAAAAAAAATGCAGAAAAAGAAAAGCAGCAGAGAAATCAGAAAAAGAAAAAGGATGATGATGATGAGGAAATTGGAGGGCCAAAAGAAGAACTTATCCCTGAGAAACTGGCCAAGGTACTTAATAATAGTGTTGAGCGCAAATGAGTGAAATTTCATGACCGGCTATTGTCATTTTATACCGTCTTATTTAACCAATTTGATTATAGATTTTAATTTTTAGTCTATTTTCTTTCTTTCTCTTTCTTGCTTTCTCTCTCTCTTTCTTTCTTGATCATATTTCACATTTAAAACTTGGAACAATGATCCTGATCCAGAGTAATCTAGTATGGTATAGTGGAAAGTTTTGGCTTTTGAGTCATTCTGATCTGGGTCCACATATCAGCACTTCTACTTCACTGTGTATCTTGGACACTTTGTCTAACCTCTCTGATGGTTTTCTCATGTATAAAAAGGGACTAGGAAGAAATCCCTACTAGGCAGGGATGTTAGGATTAAAGGAACTATATGTGCAAAGAATGTAGCATCTGTTATAAGTGGTAACATGCACCTTTTTATAGACTAAATTGAGCTTATTGAAAAGTAAGTGTATATGTATATCTTTCACCCATGTGTCAGTTTACAGTATTTCTTTATTGGGCTTTGCTATTTGAACCTAATCTCTTTAAAAGTCGCTAAATATTTTCCCCCAAGCCAAAAATCATATCTGCCATTTTTAACCATTAAACTGAAACCAGGGTATTCATTGTCAGATGAACCATTTTGATTAATATACCTATGCATTTCTGGCCCTTGGTGTTGAGCTACTCCATGTGAAAATAATTGCATGGTTTATTATGTTAAAGCAATAAATATAGTAAGCACTAGAGTTCAGTATTAGCCTCACTGGTAACTAAAAAGTAAAAATCAACTGCCTTATAACTAAGAAAAATTATAGTACCTAATAATTAGAGTTGGAAAATAGTTTTAGGATTATATCAGAGCAGATGGACAATAATACCTCATAGCAGTATTGCTAAGAACCATAGAGAAATCTAGCTTGGATTTCAAAGGATATATTGACATCCTTTCACAAATAATTGTATAACTTCTAGGACAAAGATACTACCTTTTTATTGTTGGGAGTCTATTGGAAGAATATACAGAATAGTGAGGAGGCACAGAAAATTGCCTTTTACGCCTCATGGAGAATTGCAAAGTTATTCAGGGATAATATCGGCTTTAAGGGCCTTCCATCTTTATGCTTCAGTTTCTTTATTAATACCACTTTAACCGCTGTCACTGACTGTCTGCCACCACCATTCTTTCTACATGCTTTCTCTATAGCCCATGACTTTTCTTAATGACTTTTTTCTTTGTAACACTTTATATCATCCATTATACTTCTTAGAGGATCTATTTGGATTAGTCACTGTCTAATAAAGGTTACTTACCCCCACAGAGCAGAATTCTTATACCAGGCCTCCTTATAGACTATTGGGTTTTCCTTGTGTCCAGCTTATCATAGCTGCTTTTGGGCCAGATGTCAAGTTATAGTTTAATTATTTATAGCTAGAGGTTTATAGAGTCTCAGAAGAAAACAATGCCTACAGAAAGTGCTTCATTTGGAAAGAGCCCAGTGGAAGGTACCCACTTTCATAGGCTGCCGTTTAATATATACTATTCTTACCTGTTAGGCACATAACACACTTCTCTTCCTAGGATAACTGCCTCCAGGATGCCCCCTTCTAATAGCATCCACACTTACTTGTATCCCCAGTGTGGTGGCAGCGCTAGATTACACCAAGCCATCATAATAAAGTATGGCGTTGTAGGCTCTTTTAAAAGCTGCCTGCCAAATCTGGATTTACAGTCTCTAGATTCTGATTTTTTATGATCTTACATTTTATCATTCTTAATGTTACAAATGATATATTTAGTGTCACCAGTTGAGGATTTTATATATGTAATATAAAATAAAAGCATTATTAAGTTAGCAGTAATTCCAGTTAAAGAAAAAAGGAAAATAAGAGGTTTAGTGAGTTTAATATTCAGTTAACTGAGTATAAACCTGAAGTCTTTGTTTCTCCAACTTGTGAGGCAGTAGTTGGTATTTATGAGTTCCCTCATGTACCACCCATCCTATGTTCCTTCTTGCCTTCAGGAGGTGTAGTATTCATCTCAGCTGGATTATTTTTCTCCTTCTGTGCACATGTACGTTCCTCCTTATCAATGTGTTCTTAGTATTCTGTCTGTATAGGATTTAATAGTTTTAAACTTTCTGTTGCTATTCTGGGAGTATAGGGAGATATATTCCTGTACAACATATTGTAATACGGATTAGACTTCACATTGGTTTATAAATTTAAAAATTGCATATGATCAAAACCGCCCTTGCAAATCTCATGTTGCCCATCAACACAATGCAGTCCCATTCTGCATCTCTTTAAACTTAAGTAAATTCAAATCTTCATGACTAGATGTAATTTTTTTTTTTTTTTGAGAGACAGAAATGAGTGTGCATAATTCTGGCAATTTCATCCAGTACTCCACTCATTGAACACAGGACCCCAACTGAGTATGAGACCCAGGAAGTATGACTACCATTTGTTTAGTCCATGTCAGTTCCTGTGTGCCTCTCCCAGGTGAACGTTTTGCTACAGTGATTCTCATTTTGGTACTTAATATGGTTTTCATGCACAGAATGCAAAGTAGTGATAAATATATTCATTTCTATGTGTCTGTCTTTACAACTTTAGGGATTTTTCAAGGGTAGTTTTGATGATACTTTTCTTTTTTTTTTTTTTAAGATTTTATTTATTAGAGAGAGAGAGACAGCCAGAGAGGGAATACAAGCAGGGGGAGTGGGAGAGGGAGAAGCAGGCTTCCCGCGGAGCAGGGAGCCCGATGCGGGGCTCGATCCCAGGACCCTGGGATCGTGACCCGAGCTGAAGGCAGACGCTCAACAACTGAGCCACCCAGGCACCCCTTGATACTTTTTTCCTTTTTTTTTTTTTATCTTAAGCACTGATTTTAGAACTCATCCCTGTTGATATGCTTTTGTATATATAACTCTATACTTCATTATGTATGTATGAATATAGAATGTAGTTAGCTTTATTGTAGTTATGTACATATGTTTAAACACTTAGATTTAGCCTGACAAAAATCTTACCTGTGCGAGACACACAGAAACGTGGGGACAACAGATCCAGATTTTTTGTGGAGGCATAGGTTCTCATTTATTAGAATTGCAGGCAGAATTTTTCTTTTCTTTTTCCAAGTTTAAATACTTGATTTCAGTAAGTATAATGCTTGTATTGCCTTAGCTTCCCTATATTCCTTGTTTCCATTTTGTGACAGCAGCCTTATCTCCCTGGTAGTAAATTACCCTGGTCAATACAGCGATCCTCATTTCAGTCTGCTTTGAGTCTTGAAAAACTTGATACAGCTTCATTACAATTTCAGTTTCCAGTTCTTTACCTTTCCCTAGTAGACATTTCTCCCCTGTATACCACAAATCCCAACTCAATAGGACATAGAATCGTGGGAATAAGAAGCAAAATATTCACAAATGTGTGAGAAAGGCATCCTTAGGAGGGCCCCTCTCTCCCCTCTGTCTCTTGGTATCTACAGCTAGTAGAGTGACAGTGCCGTACATTGATTTCTTGTTTAGAGCGTGTGTTCTTCAGAATAATGCCAGCTGCTTTACATGCTAAGGTAAAACTCCTAGACATCACTTTTTTGCTTAAGGTGTTTTGTTTTGTTTTTTAATGCTGTGAAATAATTTCCTTAGCCAGAATCTGTGTTGGTAAAACCACAATTACCCTATTAGCAGAGGTATGTTGTACAGCTGTGCAAATCCAAATTCCATCAAGGGTAAGTTGTTACTACCTCTGTGATGAGACAAGGCAAATACAGGCATGGATGTTCAGTGCCTTCTGATAAATATGGTATTGCTCTCCACCCCCATCCCAGTCTACAGAGAAGAATTTTGTCTAGGTACTCAGTCTAGGAATGTAACGGTAACAGTTACATAGTAAATATTATACCTGCCCAGCAAGTATTACAAGTATGTAATTAATATCACATCTATATAATTAATAAAGGGTGGTAGAGACAGTTCAATAAATATAAATCTTCTTAAATGCCGTGGCATTGGAATAAATATGGATACTATAGAATTTGTATTAGAACAAAGCAAGATAGAATGGATATTGTACTGCTTTTTTTTAATAACTTGATTATACTTCACTTTGAACTTAAAAAGAATGTTGACTCATTCTGTAACATTCTCTCTCTCTCTTTCTTAACCCCTCTTCATCCTGTTTAACATCTCTCTGTCCTCTCCCCGCCCTACCCCTTGGCTGTCTGACCTTCACTGTCTTTCCCTGCTTCTGTTTTATCTTTCTCTTCACTTGTTGGATAGTTTCTATCCAGAGATAATGTAATATCTATGGTTAAAAACCAGTGAAGAGCTGTAGAGTTCAAAATCCCCTTCCTTTAGATTATGGGAGGTTAAAATATGACAGTATTTCTGGGTAATGGGTAAGTGATTTTTACCAAAAAGAAAAAAAAAAACCCAGAAAGTGAAGTGTTTTTAATAGAATAAGATCACATTCCCCCCCCCATCTTGCTTCCACTTGTATAATATCTTTTATTTTTGTTAGGTTGAAACTCCACTGGAAGAAGCTATTAAATTTTTAACACCGTTGAAGAACTTGGTGAAGAACAAGATAGAAACGCATCTTTTTGCCTTTGAGATTTACTTTAGGAAAGGTAGGCAATTAGGGTATAGTGGCCTGATAAAATTGTATTTCTTAGATGTAGTCACCCAAATCCAGTAGTCTCACCACTGTAGGATTTTTTCCCAATGCAGCTTCTCACAGAAATGCCTGCTACGTGTACAAGATATTGTGGGGAGGTGTAATGATACTATTATCTCTCCTAGGACATTAAAATCAACGATAGATATACATACATATCTAAGATAAAGGTCAAATATAGTAGTTACCATGTACCGGTGTGAATAAAATTAATGATAACAGAGGTTTGATTAGTGCCTGATATACAAAGAGAGCATTGAATAAATGTTGGTTATTATTAGCTTTTGTTAGAAGGTGTGGTGCTTAAGGTGTATCTTGAAAGGTGGATCATATTTCTAAAAGAAAAGTTGCATAGAAAGGAAGAGGATGCACTAAGAAAACACAAGTATGCTTAAATAATGTTGAGGTTGTCTATATTGCCAGAGTCGGGTAAAAGATAATGGAAGGTCTTGGTTGTCTTGTTTAGAATGCCTAGACTACATATAGATACTAAGATTTTGTGGTATTGAATTGCTGTAATTCAGGTGGTTTATTGGGGGGGGGGAAGTGTATCATTAAGGTGATATGTATATTGAAGGGAAGAGAAATTGGTTAGTAAGATCTGACAGAAGGTTGTTGCTCCAAGCAGTGTAACTGTTCTAAAAGAGATTGAATAAAATGGCACCTCTATAGAGTATCCATTAAAAAATCATGTTTATCCAAAGTAATTAATAATGTCAGGTAAAGGTTGCTATATAGCATTGCTTGGAAATAGGACACAAAAACTATAGTTTAATTTTAATTTTTATTAAGATACTTACATGGGTATGTAAGATAGCAAAAGGGCCAGGAAGAAATAGATCAAAAAATAACCGATGGTCTCTTGATGGATTTGAGTGATTACAATGGTTTGCATTATATTTCTGTTTTCCAAAATGATTGTGTTATAATTTGGAAAAGAAGTTTAATAAATAGTCCAGTAATTTCTTTTAAAGAAAAGTTAATACAACTCCCCTTTTTCTTTCTTTCTTTCTTTCTTTCTTTCTTTCTTTCTTTCTTTCTTTCTTTCTTTTTTTTATTTAGAGCGTGGGAGCAGTTGCAGGGGCTGGGGGGAGTGAGGGAGAGAGAATCTTAAGCAGGCTCCACAAGTGGAGCCCAATGATCATGACCTGAGCCAAAATCAAGAGTCAAGACACTTAACCGACTGAGCCACCTAGGTGCCCCAATACAACAAATATTCCTAAATGAAATCCTGAAGTATAAAAAAGCTGTTCTGCTTAAAGTGGGGAAGGGCAATCTAAATTCCTTACAATTGGCTTCTTGGCTGTGTTCTAACCTCTCAAGGGCTCTTCAGCATTTGGAATTCACTGTAGTGTGAAATGGGTAGTAACAAAGAGTATGGCAGTATTTTTAGCTTTCTGAGTGTTGGAGTAAGGGAAAAAGAAATGTCAGAGGAGCCTGGAGTTTTGAATTTTGTAATTTGGAGAATGGTACCAAATTAGGGAAGTCTTAACAAAGAGGTGGTTTTATATGGGACTTAATCAGGTGACATTTCCATTCAACTATTGAAGCATGGGAAACATGGGGGTGTGAGTGTGAGGGTAATTAGAAAGATACTAGAAATTACTGAAAACATAACCTCGGTGAATATTGTACCTTTTGAGGAGGTAGAGGAGCCAGGTGATTGATTAGGAGAGGACACTCAAGTAGGAGGGAAACCATTTCACACGAATGTCTCACAATCCAAGAAAGGATCTAGTTTGAAGTATAAACAATGGAGTTGTATAAGTAGTGCAGAAAATCCCTTTATTTTTATTAAAGGAGGTTAAGAAATTAAATGGCTTCAAATTTTGTTTATATGGCATTAGTTCAAATATTGTTGAATGCTATCTAAATTTTTTGTACTTCATATAATGTTTTTTTCCTAAAAACATTTTTTCTTAAGGAATGTTGTATGGAAAATATTAGCTAATGTTGCTAATCTGAGGAAGTCATTTGCTTCACTCATGTTGCAGTTCAGATATGATTGACTCTAAATTAGTTTCTCTATTTGTAATTCTCTTAAATTAGTCCTCCAAGAGGGCACCTTATTTTATCAAATGATCAAAATATATCTTTTTCTTTTTATAGAAAAGTTTCTTTTGATGCTACAATCAGTAAAGAGGGCATTTGCTATTGATTCTAGTCATCCCTGGCTTCATGAGTGTATGATTCGACTCTTTAGTACTGGTATGTTTTTTTGTTTTACATTACTCAAGTATTTGATTACAGTAGTTGATAGTGACTGTATAAGTGGTCTATATAAGTTTCTCATAAACTAAAATAATTTTAAAGCTGTTAAATTTTAAATTAGCTAAGGGGAAAAGCAGGGTTCTTTTCTTTGTGATGAAGGTCTTTATTTTAAGGCTAGAAATGTTACTTTATTTTGATACAGAATTGTTCAGTCCGAATATTTGAGAATCACCTTTGTTTCTGTTTCTAAAAAGTTACATGTACGTTGAAATTTTGAATCATACTCATTGTGTAAAGCTTTTTAATAAATTCTTCTAAAATTGAAAAATCTCTGAAATTGACTATCTCCTTATTTATCTGTCTTCAGAATTGTTGGGAGTCATAAAAATTTTGTTATTAAATATAGATTTAAACGAACTTTAAGGCAATCACTACTTTTCAAATATTTTCATAGTAAGATCCATATATTACTTTAATGTGAGGTAGAACTACAGAATTTTAGAGTGTAAAAGGTGGAATTTTATGCTAATTATTTTTCATTTTATAATTGAGAAATCTAGGACCTTAAAAAGTTAAATGACTTATTCAGGGTAACACAGATAATTAGTATGAAGCAGGAATGATAGCTCAGGTTTTCATATTGTTCTTTCTACTACAAGACTTTAAAGTACTCCTGTAGTCAAGTGGTGGTGGTGTTTTTGATTTTTAAGTGACTTCGGAGAGGGGAAATTGAATCTTTAATATCAGCCACATATGAATCCGTACATATCTAAATAATGCGATTAAAACAGGCATCCCAATCATTCTTTTGAAAAATGGTAAATTGTCCTGATTAAGAACATTGTTTTGACTTCTAAGAAAAAGTAAAACCTTACTTAAATTATATTTATGCTTGTCAAAAAAAGATTCCTGTTATAGATACTGAATCATAGAGATGTTTTTCAGTGTCTTAAATTATGAAAGAAATAACCACCTTATAGAAAATAGAAGAAAGAATTGCTATATTTAGAGAAAAATTTTTTAATTTTTTAAAATTAATTTTTAATTTTTTAATTTTCTTTCTCATCTTTATGTATTAAATTTTTTTTGAAATCATGAGTCAGAAAATGAAGGCCAGGAGTAATGGTCTTAAATCCATTCTTGGTTAGGATGGAGTGCACTTAAGCTGTTTTCAAAATTAAAATACGCACTTTATTTTGTATAATCAACTCTTTTCCTAAAAGGTAATAAAATAATACATACAAATCCTGTGGATTTGGAGACTTCCCTTTGAAATAGGAATTAAAAGTGGCATATCTAAATATATTTGCTTATAGTATGTGTGTGGATTGATGAACATACAACTGTTTCCTTGGAACGGTTGTTTTAGGAATTAAAATGCTCATGGACTTCAGAAGAACAAAGGCAGGATGGTCCTGATGTAAAGGTAGAATTATTTAGTGTCCCTGTTAGCTTTGCACATTGCTCCAGATGTTTAGCTGACAGCATTATCAGGAGTTACAAAGTAATCCTTATTTTGACTAAATTTAGGCAGTAAAGTGATAATTTGGAGTGATAAAGATGCACGGTCTCTTTAAAAAGCCTTCAAGAAGTTGGGTAGACTGCTAATTACCTTTGTTAAGAACAGGTGTGTACTGTATAAAACTATTTGTGAAACTACAGAAGCACAGAGTTAGGGCATCTTTGATATACCCCACAGGGTTCCTTTAACTAATATATTTGGTACTTTAAAAAAATTAACTTTGAAGTAATTTTTCTTTTTCTTTTTTTTTAAGATTTTTATTTGTTCATTTGACAGAGAGACAGCAAGAGAGGGAACACAAGCAGGGGGAGTGGGAGAGGGAGAAGCAGGCTTCCTGCTGAGCAGGGAGCCCGATGTGGGGCTCGATCCCAGGACCTTGAGATCATGACCTGAGCCGAAGGCAGACGCTTAACGACTGAGCCACTCAGGTGCCCCTGAAGTAATTTTTCAAGAACACATTTGTCATGTCAAGTTATATTGTACTAACTCCTTTACAAAGAAATTCCCACAGTAACACCTTTCTGGGAAGTATGGGGATAAAAAGGAGCGCCGACACCTATTTTATTAATAATAGAAACTTCTCTAAATAAATACATTCATTTTAGTCTGGTTATGAGTACCCTCCAAATCTTCAGAATGTTGGTATACTACCAATGTAATTAGTATCTGCTACATAAAGTAATTTACCAGATAGGTCATCTTCCTCTCCCCCTTTTAATTATGAAGATGATTTTCAAGTTATTCTCTCTCTCTCTCTCTTTTTTTTTTTTTTTTGAGTTGTAGGACTTAGAGCAATTTAAACTACATTTCTGCTCAGTGCTAAGTAAAAGACAGGAGTTTAGGTATTCAGTTTTATTATTCACTTACAATGCTTTTAAAATCACTGGTCATCTTGTTCTGCAATGAATCTTTTGTCTTTTCCTCTCTCATTTGTACAAATTCCTTTCTTTTATCTGCAGATTATTTTTCTTCTGTACTTATGCATTTCTCTCCTAAAAACTTCATTAATACTCTCATTTACCTACTTCACTGTTTTGAGTGGTAATCACTTAGTAGGTTGTGTTCTAACCTAGTAGTGAGTAGTCTTTATCTCACACAAAATATGAGCATTTTCTACCCAAATTATTAATGAAAATGCCAGCGAGCCTAGGAATAAGGGAAATTCTTTTTGCCAAGAATCAGCCCCTTTTCAGTGCAACTTTTAAACCATTGATGATTACTATTTTAACCTGCAGTAAGCTAATAGCATGAACCAAACATTAATTTTAAGATGTCAAAAGACTCAAATCAAAAGCCTCTTAGAGAAGGTTTTACTACCCTTCCCTCAATCAACTATTACTTTTCCATGATTCACAAGACATTACTGTGTCAGAAGATAGCAAGGAAGATAAATAATCTGGGATTTTTTATTTTCATGAGACTTCAGTATTTGTTAGTTTTAATCACTTTCAGAGGATTTTTAGATGGATCCCACAGCCCACTAGTCTTTAGCAATAAAAGCTTATCTAGTAGACCTGTGACATTTGAGGTTGCTCCGTTCCTTAAAGACACAGGTAAAATTGCATTCTGTAGAATTCCATACAGCATCCTAAGTTACACTGCAGCAGATTTTTTGTTGTTGTTGTAATTAGTATCTTCCTAGAAATTACAGTTCCAATCTACATAATGTAGGGGAGCAAACAGAATCAGCCTCTTAACATTTTGTGATTTAGTGAGGAAATGTTTTTGGAAATAGCTATTAGTGAAAGGAGTTACGTAAATATTTCCTCTTTATATATCCTGAGTGTGTGTGTGTGTGTGTGTGTGTGTATGTATTTGTTTTTAATTGTGTGGGCTTTTTTTTAAAGCAGCTTTGATTTTTCTGGGGAGATTGTTTTAGTCTGAGGAAAACAAATTTAATAAAGGTAATAACATGAAAAGCTTAGCTTCCACCTATAACCAACTCTAATGTAACTATACAGTTACTTTCCCATCTACATATAGTGTCTGGAAAGCACTTCATGGAAACCAACAAGGCTCGTGAAAATAACATTTTATAGAAAACCTGTGGTTTTGACATAATATTCATTGTAATTGACTATAATCTATTTTACCAACTTTTCTTTCAGTTCTCTCTGCACTCCTGCCTCCCCTGAAAAACAAATACTAATAAATTGCAAAAGCCAAGTTGAAAGTACAGCTGTAATGGAGGTTAAGCTAAATGCCTTTTTTTTTTTTTTTTAAGATTTTATTTATTTATTTGACAGAGACAGAGAGCGAGAGCAGGAACACAAGCAGCGGGAGCGGGAGAGGGAGAAGCAGGCTTCCCCCCGAGCAGGGAGCCCGATATGGGGTTCGATCCCAGGACCCTGGGATCATGACCTGAGCCAAAGGCAGACGCTTAACGACTGAGCCACCCAGGCGCCCCTAAGCTAAATTCTTTAATAACTCATTTAATTGGAGAAAAAAAACCCCTCATTTAATTGGACCACTCAGTTCTATAGAATGATAGAGGAAATGTTATTTAACCAACAAAGGGCATATCAATCGATTATTCAGGTACATAATAATTATGTGTAGAATATTTCATATAGGTGTTTACTACTCAAGAGTTCAGTGTTTTTTAAACTTAGGGTAGTGATCCATTAGGGAGATAATGAAGGCAGTTTAGTGAGTCATTACTACCATTTGAAAATGTAAAATAGAAATAGGATAGAGTAGAAAATACCAGAATGCATAGCACAAAGTTAGGGTTAGTGTTCTGTGCAACTTTTCCTTCACATAATGAGTTATGTATATATAGGATACATATTCATCAGTACAACATTTGAAAGTGACCACCATGGTTCCTAACCATAATTAACAATTTATCAAATTATATTATTAGCTCTTTTATATATAACTTTTCCTTACTGTGATCATTTTAGGTTGGGTATTTCCTCAATTTTACAGATCAAGAAGTAAGTTCAGAGAGGTTGTGACTTGTCCAAGCCTAGATCCATACCCAGGTCTGTCTGGCTCAAAGCTTCAGACTGTCTCTCTATACCAAAATAATAATGGAAAAAAAAAAGCATACTAAAATTCAGTCAGAGAGCTTGGGGGGGTCAGCTTTTCCATCTCTAAATCCTAAGCTCTGGGAATATGATTACTAGCGTGTATTCCTTATAGGAAAATACTTTGGTGGTCCTTTGGAATTTACTATATAGTGATAACTCAGTTTACATAGCCCCTGTAAATAAAGGTCAATGAAGTCAATCATGTTTTCTTTTAAAATTGATAAATTTTGTAATGCCTTACTTGGGTATAGAAGATGGAGATGAGGAAAATTCTGTTTTCTTCAGCACTGCATAATTACTGTGACAGTATTTATCAGGTAGGTGTCATCAAAGCCCCTAGTTTACAGACTTGATTTAAAGTTGAGGGGGGCAGCTCCTAGGGGCTTAGAAGGCTACAGAATTACATCTTTCATTATCTGTTTTGCTTTCTGTTTTTTTTTGCTTCCCTGAAAATGCATCATTTATCGTCTTTGAATGCCGGTAGAAAATCATTAGCTTATTCTGCTGACACACATTCTTTACATTTATATAATAAGCTCTTTAAATGTTGAATTATAAGTAGGTTCATCTAGTTTTTACATATAATTACTTTATTTCATTGGACTCTTCAAGTAGATAATTTTTTTAACTTCTGCAAACTATATCAGAGTATCTACTAATTGAGTTTGTTTTTAATTTATTCAGCAGTGTGTGAAAGTAAAGATTTACCTGATACAGTTAGAACAGTATTAAAACAAGAAATGAATCGTCTTTTTGGAGCAACAAATCCAAAGAATTTTAATGAAACTTTTCTGAAAAGGAATTCTGATTCATTGCCACACAGATTATCAGGTAATCACGTTATTTTCTTTTTATCTTAGCCTTCTAAAACAATTTCAGTTTTTATCTTAATGGATCAGTGACAAGGTTACACATTGCTCACACGGAAGAGGCATTGTGATTATCTCACATTTTGGTCTTATGAAAATAGGCAGCTTAAATATGCTTCCTATAAATTTTTAAATTTCCCAGACAAAATTATTACTGTGAAACAAGGTCAGTAGTTTCTCCTGGTGCAGCATAGTCTTTACAACAAAGGAAGTTTACTGCATTTAGCTGTATATTACATATAATGAAGGAGGGAGGAGCTTTCTATTTTTTTTCTTTCTCCCTTCATCGTGCTCTTAAAATTCACTTGGATGTGACCATCATCTTCTATTTCTCATGTTTATGTAAGATATTAAACTGAACAGTGCAAAGCGCCTGAAACCATTTCACAGGCACGGGTCTGTGCTAGCAGTCCAAAGTCTGGACTTGATGGGACCATGTGGGTAGTGCTTTAGTAGGATGCTTTTAGAATACCTGGCTAAGAAGCCCAGCAGCTTTGTATGCCTTTGTGGAATTCTGAATTCAGCTTTTTGGCTCATACCATCAAGGTTGGGTATCTCCCTCCTCCCACATCCTCACCCCAACCACATTTAGTGGAGTATTCCCCTCAGCCCCAAATTATGTTCATTTTAGAAAGAAGAAAACTATCCATGGTCCCACTACACAAAGACAACTATTATTAGAATATTTTATTTCCTCATAGTTTTTTTTTTTTAAAGATTTTATTTATTTTAGAGAGAGAATGAGAGAGAGAGAAAGCACATGGCGGGGGGAGGGTCAGAGGGAGAAGCAGACTCCCTGCTGAGCAGGGAGCCTGATGCGGGACTCGATCCAGGGACTCCAGGATCATGACCTGAGCCAAAGGCAGTCGCTTAACCAACTGAGCCACCTAGGCGCCCTCTTCATAGTTTTTTTTACTTTAATCCTAGTTAGGCTATTTTTGGTCTATCCTCCCAGGGTTTTTTATTTTTTTAAACAGTGTTTCAAATGGCTGTTCGCATTTTTCTAATAAAGTGCCATATATGTTACATTTATATTTGAATGGATAGAGGATAAGATGCTGGTTTTACTTTTAAATAAAAACAAATTTCCTTTTTTCTTCTCCCTTAGCTGCCAAAATGGTATATTATTTAGATCCTTCTAGTCAGAAGCGAGCTATAGAGTTGGCAACAACACTTGATGAATCCCTCACTAACAGAAACCTCCAGGTAAAGAGTTTCTCATAATCTCTATTAAGAGTACCTGACTACTTTCTGTTTTCTTTAAACGAAGAGAATAATTTTCACCAAATAATTGTTTTTTCTTATTTTTGGATACTGGTTACCAAACAGTTATGAATCCATATCAGAAACTAACCTTATCTTAAATTTATTTAGGATTGTCTGTGCGTGCACACATACACAGCAGGCTACTTGGCATTCAAGAACTAGTTCCACATCTATTACTTATATTTTTTTCTAGAAATATGTTTTAGTAAAATCATATATATATATCCCACAGTTAATTTTAGATTTCAGTTCATATCTCTGCATTTTTAAAAAAAATACTTATTTTAGAGAGAGTGAGAGAGAGAGGGCGTGCATGATGAGTGGGGGGAGGGAGAATCCCAAGCAGACTCCTCACACAGGGCAGCTCGATCTCACCACCCCGAGATCCTGAACCGAGCCAAAATCAAGAGTTGGATGCCCATCCAGCTGAGCCACGTAGGCGCCCCCATATCTGTGCACTTCTGAGCAAACAGTGGTCTCCATGAAGATTTTTTTTTTTTTTTTAAGATTTATTTATTTACTGAGAGAGAGAGTGTACATGCGTGCATGCAGGAGGGCTGGGGAGGGGCAGAGGAAGAAGAGACTCTTCAGCAGACTTGTACTGAGCCCCATGCAGGGCTGGATATCACCACCCTGAGATCACCACCAGAGCTGAAACCAAGAGTCAGTCGCTTAACTTACTGCACCACAGGCGCCCCCTCAGTGAAGATTCTGACATATTGAAGATGTATATGCCAGGAGTCAAATTAAAACACTCATTTATAACTTGCAATGTAACATGAGATTAAGTAGAGTAAAAGATATATGGGTGTGTTGCAAAATGCAGATTCTAGTTTAGACTAAAAACTTCCTGTGATAATTGGCCAGATAAAATAAGCATTTGATATATTCCTTTAATAGCAAATGAAGGAAATATCTTCAAGAAACATTTGATTTGTTGATTGCTAATTAATAAGTCATTTAGATTAGAACATTTCTAGACTGGCAAACGTGTTGGATATTATATGTCTGCAAACTACATAATGTTTTCCAAGTGAAAAGATAAAGAAATAAAACATGGGAAATGCAAGTCAACATGAAATATTTTAAAATATAAGAAGATAGACCAAGGGGTTTGGTTGAAACAGTTATCAATTTTTATGAACAAATTTTTCTTGCATATATGCCCTTTGGTTTGAGACTTCCTTTCCTGCTTAGTTAGTGGAGAAACCTACAATTTGAATACAAGGGTGCAAAGCAATGTTTGATATTGCCAACTGTCTCTAAGCCTCATTAAAAAAACAAAACTGTAAAAGGTTTAAGTAACTGACATTACCATAGAAATTTTGACATTTGTACACAGGGCCAGCCTGGGCTGAGGCAGGGTTGCAACCTAGGGTCGAGCACTTGCTCAGAGTGAGTATGTCTTTAAATGCAACACCCTACCACTTTGCTTGCCCAGCATTAGTCCTGGCCCTGTTTATAAATTCATCCTTTTGTATAAACCCTGCAATTCCAAAGAAGCTAATTCTTATGGAATGTATATGTGGGAGTAAAATGCTTTTGTGTATCTTAAATACATACGTTTGCCTTTTGTTTAGAAAATCTGTGGATAATGAAATGTCTGATGAATTCACAGTAAAAACTTCTTTTTTGACAACTTATAACATGACCTTTTCTCTTTCTTTAGACATGTATGGAGGTATTAGAAGCCTTGTGTGATGGTAGCTTAGGAGACTGTAAAGAAGCTGCTGAAGTTTATAGAGCAAATTGTCATAAGCTTTTCCCTTATGCTTTGGCTTTCATGCCTCCTGGATATGAAGAGGATATGAAGATCACAGTTAATGGAGATAGTTCTGCAGAAACTGAAGAACTGGCCAATGAAATTTGAACATCATTAAACAAGCAAATGGAATGACTTTGGACCATATCTAGTGTATAATATTTTTGTCACGCACCTGCTGCATTGCTCTAACTTACACAGAATGAGAAGAGTAAATGTTCTTGCCTTCAAATAGTGTTTTACGTTTTTTATCCTGCTGAAAAAGTATATATAAAATATCTAACATATTACAGGATATAGGTTCAGTTTCTTAAAAAATTAAAAGCTGCTAAAATTGAGGGATTAAAAAAAGATACCTTATTCTATTCCTACCTACCCACCCATGTTTTTTAACTAATTTATATAAAATCTGGAGGCTGTTACAGCTAACAAAGCAGGTGTGTGGCAGAAATATTACTTTAAAATTTGTCTTGTGAGATTTTACTATATCTCAGACAGCATAAACGCTGTTTTAGCACTGGATTCTTTCACTGAGCACAAAGAGTTGTTGGGGCTTTAGCATCTGACTGATTTTGTTACGGGGTTGATTCTGACCATAGGAAGTATGCAATGTGAATCACTATTTACAGAGAAACCTACAACAGATGCTTGATGTTGTAGAAGCTGGGACATATAGATACCAAGCAGAATTATAAGAAACCTAGAGGGTGTTCAATACGCTTGTTGTGTTTCCAAAATTCACTGTACATGATCAGTTTGGTGTTCTTGTACCACAGTTTTTAACTGAAGGAACCAGTTGGAACAATCTCAATTTTAACTAAAACTTGAAGAACTAAAATAGCAATGCAAACCTTTCAGCATTGTTTTTGGCCAAACTTGTTAAAACTGTAATGCAAGAACCAAATGCACTGTGATGTGGCACCAACTAATTAGCACGCATGAATTTTTTCACCCAAGAGTGAAAAAAGAAAATCTACCATGGCTTGAAGTTAAAGAGCAGAACTCCTGACTACCATTCTATGACTGATCAAGAGACTAATAGTTAAAAACCTCAGCAGGCCTTGTTCATGATATGCAGAAAAAAAGTGCTGCAGTTTAGATACCTCTGGAATTTTTCCACAGTGTCACAGGTTTGTAATACTTGAAGCCCTACATTTCTAAGAATATATTTCTTGCTCAGTTGTTTCAGGCAAGCCCAAGACTTTGTAATTTTTAAAGGGCCCAAGATTTTTTTTTTCAATAACAGACCAGCTTCTTTTTCCTGCAGTTACAGATGTAATTTCCTTTTTGTTGTCAAACATAAGGTACCAAATATGATGCAATAAATTGTTTTGAAAAACAGTTGTGTGAATATTTCAACTAATCTGTGTTGGGCTTCTGTGAAAACACACAGGTGGAAACAGAGGTGCAAGCCAGAGGCAATGTAATGTGCTGTATAGCTAGTACCGATGGGAGCGTTCAGGGTGGGCCGAGTGCCGATGTCAGGGGAGCTCCGTAATGCAGGTGTAGTGCCGTTCCTGCATTAAGATTTCATTGAGGGCTAGGATGGTGGCAGGTACTATGAATGTAATTCCTAACTCATCATTTGAAAGGAAAACTGAAAACTGCTATTTTGATGGAGAAAATGAGCCTTAAACTGTTAAACCTGTATACTGAGAACTGGCCTCAGGCTCAATATTCTCATTGCATTTGCAAGATCTAAGCAAATTAAGTAAAGTGAATCAATTGTATATATAAATTGACCTTTTTTTGTGGTACTTATAGTTTATAGGACGTATATTCTGAAGGGAATTTTCAGGAGACCTTATCCTTCTACTGATTGAACAGTTGTGCTAAACTCAACCTTTCATAGTACATGACCTGCATTCCGCGTCCCAGTCTAACGATTTAGTGATGTAAAGAGAAGTACAAACTGAACTCCAGTGCTTTGTTCTGTTTTCTTAACCGGCCCTGTCTCAGGAACATCTTAACAGATGGCAAAAAAACAAACTTTTTTTCAACTTCTCCTATGAGTGGCAACTGAAGTTCTTATTGTTGGGAAAGAACACTAGTGCTACCTCTGCCACTACTGAGGTGTTGGGAGGAGGCGCCAGCCATATAATAGGGGGTGTATGTGTGAAGTATGTTTAAACTCTACTGTATATTGAAATGGAATTCATATATTTGTCTTGATAATGTTCAAATGATGTAGATTGTCTTAGAATGAAAAGTCATAAATACTCAGAACTCTTGATGCAGATGCCACCCGTGAGGAGCTAAATTCCTAACATGTATATTGTACTCCAACCCAATTTTACTGGAACTATTGAATAAATATTTTATTTTCTTTCAGGTTTACTTGATAGTGGATACATTGTCTGGTGTCAGAGGACCTTGACAGGGTTCATTTTATGTCCAGACAGCACCCCTAAAACATTGTACTGTACTGTCTTGCTCTGAGTAGTATCAACTGGGTCATCTCACATTTGCCTCATTCACTCTATTAATTCCAAATGATACTGTGGGGGAAAACAGGGTTAGAAAAACAAGTGGGGAAAAAATGCAGTGATGTTGTATTCTAAACAAGTGCCTTATGTTTATTGCTGAGAACTGGTGTTATCAACCCTTTTCAGAAGAAAGGGTCCCTTGACCTGTATTAACATAGGAAAGTAAAGCTATTTTTGTTTTTCTTTATATTTACTACTCTTGTCATTTCTCATTTAAAAAATAAATTCTGACTAGGTTAGTTTACTCAGCTTTAATTGGATAGTTGAGTCCTACATTTTCAACATTTTCCTATATTTATTATGCACAAAAATAAAGTGTGATCTATAATAGCATGGCTAAAAGTAGTCCCAATATTAGTGAATAGCTTTTCTGTGGGTTTTATCAGGCCTTGTTTTCCAGTGTTGTTTGTTTTCCATGGTGTATTGCTGTCAGAGCTGTGAAATGAAAGCTGTGATTTTAAGAGGAGGCCAGAAAAGTGTGGTCTGGTTTCAGGTAGGTGGTAATACAGGGAATTCTCTCTCCTGCACAATTTCTAGGAATATTCCAGTTGCCATGTGTAGCGTCTGTTTGGCAAAAGGTAAAAAGTGAAGTGTTAAATTTTCTTACAAGATACATATATACTTAGTAATTACCAGCCTTAAATTTTGAAATAACTCTTACTAAGAAATGAGTTCAAAGAAAGACTGACCTGTCAGATGGAAGGTAGTCTTCCTGTTCTAGCTCATGCCCCACTTTAAGTTACAGGCAGAGTTTCTTGATGCCATCCAGCAATCATCTAAACTTTGTTGAATCCACTGCCAAAACTAAATTAAAAACAAAGTCACATGAAATGGCTGTGTTGCCCCATAGGGAGCTGAAACCTTAAGTTTTGTTCCAATTTTGATGACAAGAAATCTCACTCCTTGTAGCAGTAAAACATTTTTGGGAAAAGGTTATTGTTCTTTATTGAATTGCACTTTAACCTTTTTTAGTATACAACGTACAGGGTGGATGTTAAAAGTATTGGTAGTGTGCAGGAGGTTCTGGAGAAAATGCTCATTTCAGTAAAGCAGAAGAGTCTCTTATGTACTGTAGGTTATACAGCTGAGTTAACACCGCTGCCTCCATCAAGACCTACTCCTTGTATGATGACATAAAGATGGGCAGGAGGAAAGGGAGCAGTAGGTGGTAGAAAGCGGGTCTTCAAGGTTTCCAGCCTCAGATTATCCAGTTGCCTTTGAAATGACACCATCTTGGAATTGTAGCCAGAAGAAAAAATCGGTACTGTTTGAGAACTTTTACTAAATTGTCAATGATAGTTAAGCTTGCAGTATTAATGTTCAGTGCTCTTTATAGAGTTCTAGATGCCAAAAACAATATAGACTGTGTTTCAAGGTGGCCTGTAAAGCAAAAGTAAAGTTGACATTTTGCAATCTAACAAAGACTGTAATGTAGTTCTTATATTTTTTATAGTAGGCCTTGTGTCTATTTTAACAGTCTGTTATTTCACACAAGTGGTACAATTCTTAACTGAAAAATAGTGATCTTGAATATGTGATAAAATTTTCCTGTGGTATATAAAGATTCTGCTGTTGCTAAATCAACTTGGTCTCAGTAAGTACAAATTATCCTCTCATTTAGAAACAACATAGGAGCAAAGAGATTTTTGGAATATGATTTGGGTCCCCTCGCTTGCTTTCAGCTAATAATTACGTTTGCCTTCTTGTGCATTGTCTTAACAAACAAGAAGCCACACCGTTCTATGTTATCTTTCCAGTCTAGTTTCCTAATGGGCTTTTATGAACTTGCCACTTGTTTACTTCATCTGCAGGTTTATCAGGTCCATTGCCTACTGCTTGATGCTTCATCACAATTGAGATAGGTGCTGGGTTTTCTAAAGTGTTCTTCCAAAACTGTGTTTCTTCATTAATAACGAATAATTAAATTACCTACCACTTTTTGTCTTTTCTTTTCAAAGTACTTATTTGCCTTCAAGTAGTCAGACTGCTGGTTGATATCTTTAAAAATGAAAAGGGAGCCATTTAAAGAAGTAAATAATAAACATCTCCCAGATCCTTTCCTTTAAGTTCTGAACTATGAAATGCAAAATACTAATTCTTCCCTTCATTAACTTTTAATAAATTTACTATGCATTAATAACAATAATAGAGGTATTCAGAAACATGTATTCAGCTAGCATTGTTTACTGTTAGCATAATTTGCTTAGATCTGATTTATTAGAGTATTCCCATTCATCATCTTGTGCCTCTCTGTTGGTCTTCAGGAATTTCCTCAAAATACCACAGATCCATTATATTTTACTTATGTTGAATACATTTCTCACATCTAATTTTTGTTTTTTTTCCTGTAGTTTGTCAGTGGAATGGTTGTGACTGGCCTTGTAGGAAGCAGATGACTGGAGGACCATCCTCTTTTTCAGTTGCCTGTTCATTGTCGCATAATTTGGCAGTGAATCTACTCATCCTTCATGTCTTTAGCAACCAGCCACCCAGGTAACATCACAGCCAGTGGAATTAAGTCACTACAGAGATTGTCATTTCAGTAGTTGCTTTTCATCTTTCCAACAGTTTGAGGGGATTGGTAACACACACACCAACCACCTACCTAGAAAGCTCTGTTATCTATAGCCTACTATCTCTACTTTTAATCATTACAAGTAAGGAGACACTGGGGTAGGGTCTGCAATGGTTATTTCTAGACACATGACGTATAGCCAGTATTAATCACAACCAGAAGCTGTTGTCCACAGTTGATCTTTATTTAGGATAGGCAGTTGAATCCTTTTATGTCATAAACTTAACCCTGTTTATTAAAATCCCAGGGGCTATTTAAAAAACAAACAACCCTCAATAGCTGGGCCAACTGCAGGGATTCTGATTTGAATGATGTGGAGTCAGGCCCGGGCATGGGTCATCATCTCCTTTCCCCTGCATCCCCAGTGATTTTAAGGTGTATCCAAAGTTGAGGCCCACTGTCCTTGATGAAATTTAAAATATGTTATAGTATTGAGTTTTTTCCATAGATTGAAGAAGCAAGCAACTATGTAAGTGTAAAAAGATTAACTTTCCCCCCATCTTACATTAAAGGGGAAGAACTTAGGTTTGAATTTTCCATTAAGAGCTTCCAGCTTATTTTCAAAGTCCATGCTTTTTCTTGGTTAACCATGCTGCTACTGTACTACTGGAGATGCTAGCATTTGAAGAAAAAAAAATCACTTCATAGTTTGGTTGGATGTCCTGGTAACTTGTCTCCATCGAAGCAACTCATAAAACATAATTGCCATGGATAGATAGATGCTTGAGTTTTTGAGTGGATGAGTACCAAAGCAAAGCATAGGCTTTTAAATAAGAAGGGGTACTAGATAGTACTCCCCGGAAATCCATACATACCGAACCCCCAATCAAATACATGCCCCTGAAGGACTGCATTTTATATAAACAAGTGGATTACTATTACAGATCTCAGGTGTGAAAGGAACCATGATTCTTAGAAAGAATTCAAAGCTAAATGTTGGCCTGTTAGTGTAGAACCAGGAAAGGAGATTTACATAATACACAATCCTATATCAAACCATAACCTGCTTTGTGAGGTCTGTTGAAATAATATTCTGGGTAGATATCCCAAATCTATCCAATCTAGTGTTTTTCTTTAGTAAAAAAGGAATTGTTTTATAGACAAGCCTCAATTCTGTCTAGCTTGTTCTTGGCTGGTTAAAGGATTTGATAAATGAGTCTGGTTTTAATACTGTTCGTCGCCATTCTTGAGTTCATAGAGATGGATGATCTTCCCTCACCTTTGCAAACTGGAAAATCTAAATTGTTTTAGTCTCTTCACATAGAAGCCTGGCCTTATGTGTTAGTTACTTTTCTCTGATCCTTGTGACTAAATGCCCACTTTGTGGCTTGGTACAATAGTGTGATGTAGTTGAGAACATAAGCTTTTAGGTGAGACAGAACTAGGTTTAACTCCTGGTTCAGGTCCCTTAGGCAAGATAGTAAGAATTTCTAGTTCATAGTTGTTGGAAGGATTAAGTAACATACTGTGTAGAAAGTGATTAGCACAAGGCCTGACACATGGTAAGCATTCATTATACTCGTATTTGCAAAAGGATGTTCTTTTCTGTTTGTCAGTATTCGACTTGGTTATCCTTATTTGTTGACCGCAGTACATGGAGCCAGCATATTCAGGAAATAGTTTATAATCTTTTCCTAGATACAGCTCAGTTTTTTTTGTTTTTTTCCCTAGTATTTTACTTCACACTTGGGAGAACTTTACATTGTTTTGCCTTTTCTCACAGTAGAGAAAACCACCTGTAATACCTCCATCCTTCAATGATCATTTTGACATTCATGGAAACTTTCACTAGTGTTATCGAACTTGATGATTTCTTGATGCTACAGTTTAAAGTTATTTAGAAGATGTGGAATTAGGCCAGTCCCAGTGTCCTTCCTTCTATCTATCCAGTAGTTAATGAATGCCTACTACCCCCCAGGAATTGTGCTTCATATTGGGAATAGATGACATAGTCCTTGCTCTCACATTTTTTTTTTAAAGATTTTATTTATTTATTTGAGAGAGTGAGAATGAGAGAGAGAGAGAGAGCACATGAGAGGGGGGAGGGTCAGAGGGAGAAGCAGACTCCCTGCTGAGCAGGGAGCCCGATGTGGGACTTGATTCCAGGACTCCAGGATCATGACCTGAGCCGAAGGCAGTCGCTTAACCAACTGAGCCACCCAGGCGCCCGCTCTCACATTTTTTACAGGCTAGTAAAGGAGACAGACGAATCAAGAAATGAGTGCAGCAGCAATTTATAAACCCCTAGAGTCAGTACTCATTTCCTTTTGGATG